CATTTAAAAGTATAAAACTCGCACTAACTTTGTGCTCAAAAAGACGACTCATCTAGGGCGTAAAGAGAAAAGTTTTTTTTTGGAAAAGAAAGTTTCTGTACACCAGAAAAGAGCTGAAACATAACAAAATTGTTAAAGCTTTAACAGTTTCATTTTTTTTTTGGATAAACATTGATTCCTTTCTCATTCTCCCATAGTTGATGACTCGGATCATAAATTTTTTTCTTTATATTTGAGCGTTCGTCCATTTATTGACCATCTCGATGAAGATCGATGAATAGTTTTGTTGAGAAAAAGAGGAAAAGATGCACTTCTAAACAGAATTTTGAAAATTTACTATATAATAAACAAAAACAAGTGAAATAAAACAATTCTAAATACGTATCTCTCAAAGAATCCGTTTTTCAAATAAACTCCTTCCTCGATTTTTTTAATCTTTCTTCTATCCAGTCACCTCCAATAAGTTTGTGTATAACTCTTTTCCGATAAGAACTGCCAGAATCTGGAATCGACTCCCCAGAGTTTTGAGAGAGTCCAATAGTCTCGAAACCTCTAAAATTATCTTTAGATGATCTTGATCTTGAAGCTCTAGTGGATCCTTGACGTTATCTGTGCTACCCACATTTTACATATCTTATATCGTGTTTCTTTTTATCGGCCCTTTTCGTGTTATTTGTATGAATTGATGTGTTTTAATCTTAAATCTAGCGCACTTTATCTCAGCTTCTGAATAAAGTACACTACTGGACAATGAAATATGATATTTGAAAAAGATCGTCACTTGTCTATAACTCCCTTGTCTTTACCGTATTTCTAAATATCAATATTACCATTGTGTAGCCCTTGAAAAGAGCTTTCAGAAAATGTATAACACTAATAGTTTAAACTCAAAGACAAGGGAGTTACAGACGCGCGAAAGTGACGATCGCTTTTCAAATATCATATTTCATTGTCCAGTACTGTATCTATATTTATATTTGAGCGTTCGTCCATTTATTGACCATCTCGATGAAAATCGATGAATAGTTTTGTTGAGAAAAAGAGGAAAAGATACACTTCTAAAAAATCCACAATAGTACTCGAAAGCTATTATTTTTTTAAATCAATTTCTTTCAATTTTTCAGACTCTTTTTTTCAATAGCAATTTCAATGAAACATTCACTGATAGAAACTGACTCTATCAATGAGTAAATTCAAAAAATTGAGGTCAACTCCTCTTTTCGAATCCACTGATCAGGTCAATGGATGCAGGATTTCTTTTTTGATAGGAAAAGAAGCGAACAGCTGGGTGGAGAGGGGAAAAGAAACGAGGGATTTGAGGGATGAGGAAGAGGATTCAAGAAGAGGATTGAAGAAGATGGTTGAAGAAGAGGATTCAAAAAGGAAAAAGGAGAAAAACGTTTCCCATGGGGCGTCCACCCCCAAGTTTTAGAGTTCCGCACTTTTTTTTTGAATAAACTTTTACTTTTACTTCTCGTTTATCATACAAAGAACAATGGCTTTTCCTAGAATTTTTCCTTATTTTCAAAGTGAAACTCCATAAATCTAGGGCTGTCCTGGCTTCTGACTTTGCCTGAGCTGGCTTTACTGTTCTGGCCTGGTCGATCAGAACAATAAAGTTTCTAGTTTTTCTAACAAACTCAGAAAATCTAACTCTTGTTGCTTTTCAAAAAAACTCCACTAAAAACGTTTCAAAGATCTCCAACTCGTTCTTATCTTTCAACTTTACTTAGAAGAGAAAAAGAGTCGAACTCTGACGTTTACCGTTCACATTTTTCCCTTGTGCTTCTCAATTTTTCATGACGAGTGACCTGATGGATATGGAATTTGGGAGAACAGGAAAAGGGAAGGGAAAGGGAAGGAAAAGGGAAAGAAAAGGGACAACTCTTGGAGGTCTGAAAAGGGGAAAAGAAAGACGGGGACACCCCTTCCTTCAAACGAAAAGAGCATCGAGTCCATCCTGGCCCTTGCGAAGAGTTTCTGAATGAGAGCTCTTTTTTGTACCTTATTTGAGCATTTTTGAATTTTAGCGTGTAGCAATTTAAGCATTGTACTTAAACATTGCGACAAGTTTCATCGTTTCTTGGTCAATGATTTCCTATTGTGTCTGTAGGCTAAGTCAGACCATAACCAGATTCAGATCTGGATTCTGGCGAGTTTAGGGACACCTGTAGCATAGCCAAATCCTTACCTGGCCCGAAAGATTACTTTTGGAATGACCTTCCCCTTTGGAGTAACCTTTACCTTTGAATTACCTTGGGAAAGTTTTTGATCACTTGTTTAACCAGAATTTCCTTACTCTTTTATAAATTAGTTAGACTTTTATGTTTTATTTATTACTTTTATGTAGACTGTGAAGCACTGTTTTGCTTTTAGCTTTAGTGTTAATCCAAAAACTGCATATATTCATTTCATTTCTTTAATTCAAGCGTTTCTTCTAGCTTTGTTTCATGAATGTTTTCAAAACACTCAAATCATTCAACTAACTATAAAAATCAATGATAAACTTAACTCAAAGATCTCTTTTCTTGATCATTTCCTCGTTTTTCCTCGTTTTCTTGATCATTTCCTCGTTTTTCTCTTCTCGTTATCCTTTTCCTTCCTCGATTCCTGAGTCTCTTTTAAGCTTCAGACTGGGAAAAGGCCCAAGAACACAGAACGGGATGGAGACTGAAGAAAAGAAAAGGGAACAAGGCTTTCTCTTTATCCATATCTTTTATTCTCTTTTCTTTTTACTTTAAAAGTCTTCGATTTCCTTTCTTTTATTCCAAAGACTAGCCGAATGTGAAAAGCGATCTTCCTGAGAGATCCCTTTCCATTGCTCGTTGTCCATCCAAGACCAGAGCCTCTATAAGCCAAATATACACATAAATTTAAATAAACTTTAGCCTTTTTTCTATTAGAGAATTAAGTCTAGTTCTTATTCTTCACTTTTTAATTGTTTCTCTTTTTCAAGCTTTTCCTTTCATTGTTTTCTTTATGCAGAATTGTTTATTCGTCGAGAAATGACTGGAAAATCGTCTTCGAGAAACTTTTCATTGTTTCAAAAAGGAGATTTTTCAATGCCCGAGTGTTTGAATTATTGTTTAAGGAAGTTTTTTTTTGCTTTTCAGCTTTTCTCTTTCTTCAACATCATCTTTATGATACAATGAAGTTTACAAAAAGAATATTTTCTTGAGAATTCATCTAAATGCTTAAAACATATCTTCAAATGAATTCAAAGTGTTTGAATGAGAGGAAAACGCGATTTTTTTTGGTTGATAGCTGGTTAATCAATGATTCAAAATTATTGCTAATGTTGAGAGTCTAGAAACGTAAAAAGTATTTATTTATACAGAGGTCATATATATCGTATTTAGTGGATTTTCGGCGCGATCACAAAATGTTTTCAATTGTATTAGCCAAACCATTCACAATGTTTTCTTCTAAGAAGCGCTTTTCTAAAAATAGCTAAAGTTGCATAAAAAAAATGATTTTGCGTAAAAAAAAGTGAATTTAGTGGATTTTAGTGGTATTTAGTGGATTTTAGTGCGCGAATCCAAAATGGTTATCTCGGAAAATGCTTGCTAGTACACCCACCAATTTAAATAGCTAAAAGATGCCCCCAGCTATCGTAACTTTATTTGAAACCTATAAGTTCATTTTTATAAGTTTACCGTTACAGTAATTTCTCTTGAACAGAGTTAAAGTGCATTGAACTGATCACAAAAACTAAAGCTCAAATTGGTTAAAAGTTAAAGCTATTCTTTACAATTATAATATATATGACCTCTGTATAAATTAAATAAATATAAATAAATGTATAATATATAAATTTTCGGTGTTTTACGGTTAACGGGCGTCATATATATCGTATTTAGTGGATTTTAGTGCGCGATCACAAAATGTTTTCTCGGAAAATGCTTGCCATTCAATTGTACTAGCCAAATCATTCACAATTTTTTCTTCTAAAAAGAGCAAAAAGAATATTTTCTTGAGAATTCATCTAAATGCCTAAAAATATCTTCAAATGAATTCAAAGTGTTTGGAAAAAGAAAACACGATTTTTTTCTTTGGTTGATAGTTGGTTAATCAATGATTCAAAATTATTGCTAATGTTGAGAGTCTAGAAAAGTAAAAAGAAAGCTATTTTTGATTTGTATACATGCTGAGAGAGGTCAGCTGAGAGAACTTCAAATTTCATGACCTTTTTTATCAGCTAAATTTCATGACCCTACTCAAAAATTTATCTTTATTTACTACCGGGAAAGAGAAAGAGTCAATCATTTTAAACATTAAGCCATTTGAATCATTTTTTTTTTGTTTTAAAACAACTGAATTCACTTGATAGATTTCGAGGATTTGATCAATTCAAAATGAAAGTTTTCTGATTTACCATAAATGAATTTTATAAGAGTTTTCTCAGTTTTCTTTTCGAATTTCCCTCGTTTAAAGTTTGAACACCTGCCGTGAAAAGGAATTTGACAGCAGGCTTCGGTTTGGGAAACGTTTGGAAAACTTTTGGGAAACTTTTGGAAACTTACTTTCAGTTTTACTTTCAACTATCAACTTTTTACTTTACTTTTTAGCAGTTTTCTTTTGTTTTATCTCTTTAATTCAGATATTTGATTTAGTAATTAAAAAACAAACAACTGAAATCTTTAATCGTTTAAATTCTTTCTTAAATCAAAACATTTTTCTCTCTGATCGTTAAGGAACATGAGGATGACACAGAAATTTTCTGTTTTTCTTTCTTTTTCTTGAATTTCATTTATTTGATGGGAGAAAAATGAAGGAAAAGAAGGAAAAGAGGGAAAAGATCAAGAAAAAAATGAAGAGTGAAACCTAAGACTTTCCGTTTCTTCGCCCGTCAGTTAGTTGGTCAAAAAGTCGTGTAGAAGTCGTTTTATTAGGCTAAACTTTATTTTCAAACTACATTTCATATTTTCTTCTCTTCTTGAACTGATTCTTAAGGCTTTTAAAAGCTACGAAACCATTTCAGTTCTTCAATTGCGCACCTCATGTTGATCCCAACATATATCGCCTATGCGGCCATTCTCTGTCTATTCCTCATCGCACCAGCAATCGGAATTTTTTGCGTCTACACGGAGAGATGCTGTAAAAAGCAAGGAGATGAAGAGCCAAAGGGTTTGTTTCGAAAATTTCGATCTTTACCGTTATCGGGTGGGCAAGTTTTTTGGCCAACTTGCAACTCATTTTTGTGCACCTTAAACTCGTCAGATCAAAAAGTTTTAATAAGATTTAGATAGCTTAAAACGTCAGCTTTCAGAAACTATTTGATTTATCAAAAGTTATTAACAAAAACCTATCTAAAATCCGGCTACAAAATGGTCAAAAACCCGCTGCCCTTTAACCGTAAAACACCGGAAATTTATACATTATACATTTATTTATATTTATTGAATTTATACAGAGGTCATATACATTATAATTGTATAGAATGGCTTTAACTTTTAACCAATTTGAGCTTTAGTTTTTGTGATCAGTTCAATGCACTTTAACTCTGTTCAAGAGAAATTACTGTAACAGTAAATCTATAAAAATGAACTTATAGGTTTCAAATAAAGTTACGATAGCTGTGGGCATCTTTTAGTTATTTAAATTGGTATTCGGGTGTTCTGGCAAGCATTTTGGAGTCGCTAAATCCACTAAATCCGGCTTTTTTTTACGCAAAATCATTTTTTTTAATGCAACTTTAGCTATTTTTAGAAAAGCGCTTTTTAGAAGAAAACATTGTAAATGATTTGGCTAGTACAATTGAATGGCAAGCATTTTCCGAGAAAACATTTTGTGATCGCGCACTAAAATCCACTAAATACGATATATATGACCTCTGTCTAAATAAATGTATAAAAATCTATAAAAATGAACTTATAGGTTTCAAGTAAAGTTACGATAGCTGTGGGCATCTTTTAGTTAAGTAAATTGGTGTTCGGGTGTACTGGCAAGCATTTTCCGGGTGTACTGGCAAAACATTTTGTGATCGCGCACGAAAATCCACTAAATACGATATATATGACCTCTGTATAAATAAATGTATAAAAATCTATAAAAATGAACTTATAGGTTTCAAATAAAGTTACGATAGCTGTGGGCATCTTTTAGTTAAGTAAATTGGTGTTCGGGTGTATTGGCAAGCATTTTCCGAGAAAAGCATTTTGTAGTCGCGCACTAAAATCCACTAAATCCACCTTTTTATGCAAAACCATTTTTTCTTTATGCAACTTTAGCTCTTTTTTTCTTCTATTGATTCAATTGATAAATAAAGTTGAACTCTATAGTGAAACCTGCTTTAAAAACAATGTAGAAAGCAAAACTACGAGTAGAAATTGGGCAAAAGTAAGAAAAAAAAATAGCTAAAGTTGCAAAGAAAAATGATTTTTACGCCAAAAAGGCGGATTACGGTATTTAGTGCATTTTAGGGAGTAGGCTAATTTCCGCAACAGGGTCATTTGCGCAACTGGGTCGTTTGTGCAACTGGCCATAAATTTCTTCTAAGTCGGCCAATCTTTATGATGTTGGCTTCATTTTGTAGATCTCAATAAGTGCAACAAAATGACACCACAAATCATAAAGATTCCACTTAGAAAGGTCCACTTAGAAGAAAGTTATGGCGAGTTGCGCAAATGACCCTGTTGCGCAAAGAAAAATTGCGGAAACTAGCCTACCCCCATTTTAGTGCGCGACCCCAAAATGTTTTGTCGGGAAATGCTTGCCAGTCAATTGTCCTAACCAAATCATTCACAATGCCTTCTTCTAAGAAGCGCTTTTCTAAAAATAGCTAAAGTTGCATAAAAAAAATGATTTTGCGTAAAAAAAAAGTGGATTTAGTGGATTTTAGTGCGCGAATCCAAAATGCTTATCTCGGAGAATGCTTGGCAGTACACCCAAGTACAGTAAATTCGGTGTTCACCAATTTAATTAACTAAAAGATGCCCACAGCTATCGTAACTTTATTTAAAACCTATAAGTTCATTTTTATAGATTTACCGTTACAGTAATTTCTCTTGAACTGTAACAGAGCTGCTGCAACTTGAATGAACGATAACTTGTTACAGAGTTACTGTAACAGCTATTACCAATGATTACATTTTTCAAGGTTACATTAGCCACTAATTTTTGAAATAGATGGTTTTCTCTTGATTAAAATACTTTCTAAACGATACCTTAGAAAAAGTTAGTATATTTTTGCTTAGAAAAACCCTCGGGTCAATGTATACTTTACCGTATTAAGTAAAGTTTGATTAAAATACTTTTCCAAGCTTTCCAATCTTTCCAATCTTTCCAATCTTTCCAATCTTTCCAAAGTTACTAAAGTTGTCCAAAGTTTTTGATGGTTTTTCCTTTTCAGAAACAAGCGAGGCTCGAGTGATATTGGTGATGCCGGCCGATTGTCTAAGAGATGAAGATCCAATCTCTCATTACGATGATCTCCCACCATCGTATCACGAACTTTTCCCGAGTTGTTCGTAAAAAAAGGAAACGAACAAGAGCACACGACGATATATTCCTGTAAAGCAGAAAGTTTCCTCCAAAATTTTCCATTCTTTTGGTGCCTGACTAAGATGAATAACTTATTCTATCTATTGGGTTGGTGAATTGAAAACTGCCGGCTATTGTCATATGTGACAGTTTGAGCACTTTCTTCAAAAGAAACCCATTTTGGTGTCAATGGGAAAGTTGTAGAGAATCAAAAATCAAGCTTATATCCAAATTTCCAAAAAATACACTTAGTAGTTTCGCTTAAAATTGGTGTGTTCTGTGTGTTCTTTGTGCGGCCGCGTAATCGCTCGTCGCCTGGCGCAGGGCTTTTACATCACCCCCTTCCCTCTCCCTTTGCCAAAAGAATATGGCCGGCTCCGAATGCTGGGATTGGGCATTGACTCCTCCTCAAAACAAGGCTAATCTCAATCTATTGGGTTGGTGAATTGAAAACTCCCGGCTATTGTCATATGTGACAGTTTGAGCACTTTCTTCAAAAGAAACCCATTTTGGTGTCAATGGAAAAGTTGTAGAGAATCAAAAATCAAGCTTATATCCAAATTTTCAGAACGATTCAAAAACTGGTTTTCAAGAAATGCGAAATTTACGAATTTTCACAAAACTTGCATTTTAAGCGAAACTACTAAGTGTATCTTTTTGGAAATTTGGCTATAAGCCTCATTTTTGATTCTCTACAACTTTTCCATTGACACCAAAATGGGTTTCTTTTGAAGAAAGTGCTCAAACTGGGACATCTCCAGTCCTCCATTTTTGAGTCTAACACTTGTCTCACACACAAACCAAAATCCTACCACGAAAGAGGAATCCGCAAATTGCCTGTCAAATGGGCAGAAGTCGTCAATAATAATGGAAATTATTTGCAATGAATTTATGGTTTTATGTTGAATAAATTTTAGTTCAAAGTCCGGCAGTTTTCAATTCACCAACCCAATAGAATCAATATTTAATTGAATATTTGTAGAATTTCCTTTCCCCTCACTCACTTTCAATTCACCAACCCAATATTTTATTTATATTCTTGTAAAATTAGCGAATCTCTTTCATTCTTATAGTTTTCTTTTTCTCAAAAAACTCTCTGAATCTCAGTGAAGGAAAAAAGAAAAACACGAGTTACTAGCCATAATTTGGTACTAATTTTAGAAATACATGGTTTTCTCTTGATTAAATGATTTTCTGAACAGGTTATCATACTTTTGCTTAGAGAAAAAAACTTCGGGTTAATGTTTACTTTATAAAGACCATAATTAGTAAAGTAAAAAAACAGTAAAAGCATTTGTTTTGCCTTTCTAGAACTCTAGAAATCAACAATTTCACTGGTAAATAGCTGATTTTACACGAAAAATTGATGTTTCATTGTTTGCAATAGATTTCCCTTTTTTCAAAATCTTTCTTACTCTAAAATTCATTGCCATTTTGAATGTCACAAAAATAATACGGGTATTTTTATAATAAATTTATTATCTTCATCGTTAAATGCAAATAAAAGAAGGAAAAAAAGCATTTGAGTTAAATAAAAAGGAATGAATTAAATGAAAAAAAAAAAAAGGAAAAAAAAAGCAGCCATAATTTGGTACTAATTTTAGAAATACATGGTTTTCTCTTGATTAAATGATTTTCTAAAAAGGTTATCATACTTTTGCTTAGAAAAAAACTTCGGGTTAATGTTTACTTTATAAAGACCATAATTAGTAAAGAACAGTAAAAGCAAATTAAAGAACAGTAAAAGCATTTGTTTTTTGTCTTTCTAGAACTCTAGAAATCAACAATTTCACTGGTAAATAGCTGATTTTACACGAAAAATTGATGTTTCATTGTTTGCAATAGATTTCCCTTTTTTCAAAATCTTTCTTACTCTAAAATTCATTGCCATTTTCAATGACAAAAATAATACGGGTATTTTTAAAATAAATTTATTATCTTCATCGTTAAATGCAAATTAAAAGAAGGAAAAAAAGCATTTGAGTTAAATAAAAATGAATGAATGAATGAATTAAATGAATTAAATGAAAAAAGAGGAAAAAAAAAGCAAAGAAAAGAAAGCACTAACATTTTCGAGGGGACAAATTATCACAGAATGTAAAATAGAAAACGAAAAGTTTATGTAAAAAAAAAGAGAAATTTGAGAAATTGAGTCATTCGAGCGTTTCTTTTTTTTGAGATTCGATATGGATTATAAGAAAATATTAGAAAAAAACTGGCACACGAGATACCCAGTGTTTAGCAAAAAAAAAAAACAATAAAATTAATAGAAAAAGTAAAATTTTTGGTTTAAAAACATGAGAAAGCAAAGAAATTCTTGTTGGGGAGTTGGCAAATCTCTTAGAAATCTCTTGGAAAGCTAGCAGTTGAGTAAAACTAATTAGGAGAAGAGGATAAGATGCTAATTTTCTAAGAAACCGGCTCTCAAATGCATTCTGATTTGATCTAAAATGTCAAAAGATGGCTAATAGCTGTGGCTAGTTCTGAAATATCTTTTAATCGACTGGTTTAAGCTTTACTAGTACTTTAAAGTAGGCTAGTACTTTAAAGTAGTCTTTTATACTTTAAAGCCTTGATATGCGAATTCTAACTTTTGCAAAAAGCAATTTTTAATCGCATTTGAGAGCCTTGATATGCAAATTCTGAGCTTAAAATGAAAAACCAAAAAAAACTGACATTTAGCTCGTCGGCGAGGACGATTGTCGGCGACTTTTATAAGTTTTTGGTGGAAGTGGGGGTGGGGAATTTGGATTTGATGGGGACTCCGAAGAAATACTTGTGGAAGTGGGTAGCGGTTTCGTTGTGGCTGCGATGGTTGTTGATTGGCTTTGACTGGTCGTCGATGGGGCCAACGAGCGGGGAGTCGTCAATGGAGAGGCGGTCATATGCCTGGAAAATGATAATATTCGTAAATATTCGAAAATAAATATTCGATAAAAGTCAAAGCTTTCGATATTCTATAATATCTTTTTCTATAATATCTTTAAATCTTCCAAATTCCCTTTAGCTTTTCTGTGTTTTTTAAAGCTCCCTGTTCTGTTTTGTTTTGTTTGTTTTGATAGCTCGATTGCTCGAGTGCAGAACAACAAATTTAATCTTTTGGTTTAAGTACAAGCTTTACTAGTACTTTAAAGTAGGCTTATTATAGCTTTTGTTCTTTTTGGTTCTTTTTGGTTCTAAAGAAACAACAATGGTTCCTTTTGGTTCTGAAGAGTTAAAGGAGTTCTTTAAAGTACTTTAAAGTAGGCTTATTAGATAACTTTTGTGGTTCTTTTTTTGGTACTGAAGAAACAACAATGGTTCTTTTTTGGACTGAAGAGTTAAAGGATTGTTATTATTAGGAATTTGAGATAAAATTGACCGGAAATTGCTAAAAGATCTATTAAAAAAAAGATGCAAAAGGATTTTTATGGAGGATAAAGGATCACATGTGATCAGTGAAAGGAAAAAAAAGAGGAAAACTGAAATTATCAATCAAAAATGAATGGATTCATTCGTTCAGCTGGTAAACAGCTGAAAATGTCGGTGAAATGTTGGTGAAATGTTGAGTGAAAATTGTTTTGCTATTTTTCTTTTAGTTTCTTTAGAGTTGCATTCGAGATTTCGTTTTCTTATGACTTTTTTTCATCTTTAAATTGAGAAAAGTTGCAAAAACATTAGGTTTAAAGAGATGAACTAATGATTTCGAGTGTTTATGCTCATTAGAGCTCATTAGAGTGTTTATCATTGCATTCGCTCATTCAATTTCATTCAATTTCATTTAATACTTCAAAACTATAGAAAGGTAGTACAGTTTGGATGGGGAAATGTTCAAATTCGTTCTCGATTTCGATTTTAAGTCAATATTCAATACGATGATGCTCTAAGTATTGCAGACAAATGATTCTCGTTACTTTTTGTTGTGTTTCTCTCGAGAACACAGCCACTTGCAAAACCCAAAACCGATCGAATCTTTCTCAGTCAAAAAGAGTTTCGTTTCTGCTCGAACGGAAGTGATTTCGGCGCCCACAAATTAGCCGTTTTCTCTCAGAAAAAGAGAAAAAGAGAGTTTTCTCATAAGGAAAAAGGAAAAGGGTTTTTTTTTTTCTTGGCTGAATAGAGAGAGATGGGACTAATCGAATCAATAGCCAAAGAGTGATTGGGGAAAACGACCGGAAGTGAAGGAAATTCAACAAATATTTCTTTGTTTTCTCTAATTCTTCTCTAATAGATTTTCTAGAAATCGATCGATTTCATCATTTATTGACTAGTTTTAAAGAATGACTTGTTGTAAAGTTAGACTAGTTAGACTTAGACGATTTTTGATCACCCGATCATCTTTAGCTCACTTTTACGAGCTTCTCAAATGTTTCCAAGTTCGGGAATCCTGTCTGATGCTCAAAAATCGACTTGTTTAGAACACTGAAATGACTGAATTTCAGTTTAGATCACTGAAATCACTGAATTTCACTTTAGATCCCTGAAAATAGTAAAATAATAACGGGGAACCGGTAGCTGACAAATAAAAGTTGTTTATAAGAAATTTTTGAGAAAAACAATAATGCAAAAGAAAGTAGGAAATGGAAAAAGGAAAAGAATGGCTAAATTTGGCAACAAGAGTGCTCAATTGTAGCGCCAGAAAAGCCAGAAAAGCTAACCTCATAGAGAAAGTAAAGGTCATTTTGTGACTCAAAAAACAAAATCTCCTGGTTTTGTAAAGTTAGACGATTTTTGATCACCCGATCATCTTTAGCTCACTTTTACGAGCCTCTCAAATGTTTCCAAGTTCGGGAATCCTGCCTGATGCTCGAAAATCGTTACATAAAACGACGAAAAGAGATAAAACAAAGAATTCAAACAAATTTGATCAAGAATCAAATGATTTGCCGTTTTTTTTTTGAGATTTGATTAGTTTTATTTTGAGTCAAGGTTTCTCAAAGAAAGTTCTCTACTAAAGTTTTTTTTTTAATCGAAAGTCGTCTCAAGGTTATCAGAGATTATCCTTTGATTTCTCACAATCAGTATCGATAAACGATGGATGAGTGAATGATTTGAGAAGAAAAATCCCATTGATGAGTTGAGATCTTTTTTGTGTGAAAAGAGAATGAGCCAAGAGATATTACATGAAATGATTTGAAAAGTATGGATTTGTTTGAGTGGAAAGATGTTTTGATGCAATGCAATAATGCAATGCAATGGAAAATGCAATAATCGAAAAAAAAAACAAATTCGACCAAAGCACAGGGAAGCTTTTTACAAGGGATTTTGAAAAAAAATTAAATAAAAAACTTTTGCGACTACGAGATCGGTGGGGTACTTTAGAGTATTTACGGAATATATCTGGATACAAATGTCGAATACAAACCCAGGCTTTGGTGGTCTTGGTGGTGGAAGTGGAGATGAGACGGAGGTGATCGAGCCGGGTCTTGACGCTCTCGGTGGGAGTGATGGTGGTGGAAGGGAGACGGAAACCGATGGAGAGTCCCCATTTGGCGATGATGGAACAGGCAAAGTGACTCGGTGTTCAGCTGATGTTGAGCTCTGAAAATGATATTTATATTCGGAATCGAAATCTAAATCTAAATTTTGCTGTGCTCACCTGGGCGACTGTTGGCGGCGGTGGCGGGGCGGGCGCTTTGGCTGGCCTTTGCGGGGTGGGCGAACCGCTGGCCATCGGGATTTCGGGAAAGATGAAAGCCTGGGAAATTCGCTAGATAATGTTCATCTAATATGCAAGTTCATAAAGTTCATAAAGTTCATAAAGTTTTTATCAAATTTACCTGTGCATGCTGATTCAATCGGGGACTTTTGTTGGCCAATTCGGGCGGTGAAGGAGCTGGGGGTTTCCACGAGGCGGACACCGGGGTGAACACCGATGGTGACCTAATTGGAGGTCCTAAAAAAACGTTTAAAATCGAAAATATCTAAAATATCTAAAATCCTTTAAATCACAAACCATTAGAAACCGGTTGTCTGGTTTTTCTCGGATGGAGTGGTGGTGGGGCCTTTTTTGGGACAGGACCCAACGGAAAACTGGATGTTGTGGGAGCTTGGCGACGAGTGACATCACCTAGAAAAGGATGAGGGTTATGGTTAAAGGATTAGAGCTTTTGATTCAATTGTTGAACCTATTGATTCAATTGTTGGACCTTTTGATTCAATTTTTAAACCTTTTGATTCAATTGTTGAATCTATCTGACCGGAATAGCGGTTAATAACAAGTTATGAACAAAATTAAGTACTTAAACAATAGGAATTCTTATCTTTATTTGAAAATCACCTCTTACAAGCATATACGGATGTGCATGGGGTGAACTGGGTGGGGTTCTAACGATCAACATCATGAACGAGCAAATGATGAAGGGGATTTTGAATATTGGGAAAAGGAGATAGAGGAAGTGTCAATGTATGAGTCTAGTTTGAGAAAAATGGGTGATGATGGTTGAGAGGAAAGGAGGAAAGGAGGAAAGGCAAGCAGTGGGCGGAGTCAGCCTTTTTTGGTGAATGGGAAAGAGAGTTTGAAAGAGATGAGAGTTTTTCGTCTCGAGACCATCGTCAATTCGTGAAGAACACCCAATTAGCGGGGAAAAGAAGGGGCAAAAACTGCATTGTACTTTGTACAATCAATCGGAAAATAGAAAATATCATGTGATCAGTGTGTGGTGTGCTTATCGATAGGTTTACAAAGATTGTTTGAAGTGTTGAGCTCAACGAGAGGAGTGAAGTGATCAGATGAACATGTAGTGCAGAATTTTTCGACTACGATAACAAATATATACTTTAAATAACTTTTTTGACTATAGCAAAGGTAGAATAAAGAAAAGAAACATTACTGTATTGTTTTATTTGCTTTAAACTGGATGTTTTGCACTAAGTAGGATAAATTTTAGATTTAATAAACAAAGCTAGATATACTTAGCATGTTAGACGACTTTACGATGGAATCTTTACTATGGAATCTTTCCTATGGAAGCTTTACTATGAAATCTTTCCTATGGAATCTTTACTTTAAAATCTTTCCTATGGAATCTTTACTATGAAATCTTTCCTATGGAATCTTTACTATGAAATCTTTCCTATGGAAGCTTTACTATGAAATCTTTCCTATGGAAGCTTTACTATAAAATCTTTACCATGAAAACTTTACTATGAAAACTTTACTTCAATATTACTGTGAAAAGTTCAGTGCTGTTTTAAACTTCGGCTTTTCAAAAGTCCAATACAACTCTAGCACTCGATTTCGAAGATTTTATCCATTTCCTTTCCAAATCAGGTACAGACTCAATCTCCATCAATCTCTTTCTCACCTCAACTACCCTCAACTACCCTCAACTACCCGCACTTGTCTTCCTATCTCGAGTTACGATCTCAGCACGCCACTCTCAGCAACATATGGCCCACCAGAAAAGAGTTCCCAAAAGTGCTGGATTTGAGCCAATAACAGCACCTCTTTTCCCTAAACCCGGCAATCCTTATGTCAAAGTCACAGATACTCGATCATTTTCCTGTCACTTTCTAGAACCAATCCAGAAATCCAGTGCCTATGGCAAAATTGAAAGTTGACTTCAAAGGGAAATTCGAGTTCTCGAGTGGGTGCACATATGGTGAAGAAGGAGAAAAAAAAAGGGTGGTGGAGTGGTGAAGAGTGAGTGGATTTGTCGGAAAGTATATGAGACTTTCTATTCAAATCATGGTGAGCAAGGGTAATTTATGAAATCTTTGCCAGAAAAGAGTGCCTTATGAAACTTATTTCATTAATAATCAAGTTGATAACATAAAAGTTCTTTTTTGTCATTTGAATCTAGATAATCAATAATCAATAATCAAAAAGATCTCACCAATATATCGCGGTAGTTGTCCGGGATTAATATCAATGATCGCAAAATCCTCGTTGTTCGTTTTCGATGGTGATGGCTTTGAGCTAAAAGAAAACTTGTTTAACCTTTTCTGACTGTGTAGCAGCTAACAACAAGTTATGTTCAAAATTTCAAGTTTGAATTTCAACTTAGTGACCTTTTTTCTTTTACGGTAGTTCTATTATGGTAGTGATTGCGCGTCATAAAAGACAATGAGTGAAGGGAGGTGTTGAGTGGCTGAGAGATGAGTGAAAACAAAAAAAAATAGAGCCCATTTAGCTCTCAATGCCCTCAAGGTGTGTTCTATTCTTTTCTCTCATTCAAATCCCTCAAGATAAGTCCCATTGTCTGAACAAAAAGCTAATCCTTGTACCCGTATTTCTTCAGGGTATTTGGGGGAAATGAGATGAGTGAGCACAATGTTGACAATAGGGATTTGAAGTGTGAAATCGGAGAATTTCGGATTTAAACGAAACAAAGAGAACTAAAAGGACCTGAAGGGGATACAAAGATACAAGAATATTGCTCTTTATGTTCTTACAAAGATACAAGAATATTGCTCTTGATGTTCTTACAAAGATATAAAAATATTGCTCTTCATGCTCTTTCAAAGATACAAGAATATTGCTCTTGATGTTCTTACAAAGATACAAAAATATTGCTCTTAATGCCCTTACAAAGATACAAGAATATTTACTGATGCTCTTCATGCTATTACTGATTTTTGTAAGACAAAATTTGACGCCAGAATTACGATAGTTTTAGATAAAGCACTCTATTTGTAACTAAAGTTCTTCAAGATTGTTCAAGGTTTCAAATTCGATCGCTTTGTTCAACTATTGAACACAATACCTTTCCCCTAAGTCAACCCAGATGACTCGAAGATTTGAGAGAACAATGGCCAAGTGATGGAAAGAAAGGAAAATGAATGAAATGACTGAGATGAATGATGATTCCGCTACCATTCATCTATAACCTTTCATTCAAAGAACATTTTGCACCTCCAAATTGAATAGTACAATGTCATTTCTGCAAAAGAAAACACTTTTTAGTGGGTTTCTTTTTATTCAATTTATAGTTTTAAACCAAAGTCATATTTAGATTAAGTTGGGTGTACAAGAACTTTTCCAAAAATCAGCTTAGCTCTAAAGGCTAAAGCATGTTCGACTACAATAATAATCTCTTTATAGACTAATCTTACTGACTGTCGTTTGATAGCCAGATTACGGTAGCCTAAAGCAGGCTTTAGAGCAGCTGTCCGTGTAGATATTTTGAAAAAGTTCACAAGCAAGAACTTATAACATATCTAGCACTTATCACTTATCATGAGTTAATCATGAACTTGTGATTCATTTTCTTATTAATTTATCCTCTACAAGGCACCAAAACACTCTTTTAATCATTTTCCCCATTTTCTCCAAAAATTCGAATCACCAATCGCTTATTCACACGGCATTTACTAACAAATAACAAGTACGTGACAAAAGAACGTGAAAATCAAAGAGAACCCGTACAAAATAATTTGCATGGGTGAATTTCTCGGGAAGAACGATGTACCGAAAGAAAGATTAGACTTTTGATCGAATGAATGAGTCATGAATAGACTCTACTATATCCAATTCGATTGGAAACACTTTCAAAGTCATTTTTTGAGCCTAAAACAATGCAAAAACCCAGTCTTGTGCTCAAGTCAAATTCTACCATCAAATTCTACTATCAAATTCTACCAACAAATTCTACCATCAAATTCTACCATCAAATTCTACCATCAAATTCTACCAACAAATTCTACCATCAAATTCTACCATCAAATTCTACCATCAAATTCTACCATCAAATTCTACCATCAAATTCTACCATCAAATTCTACCATCAAATTCTACCATCAAAGTCTACCATCAAAGTCTACCATCAAAGTCTAGTCTTTTCACAAATATCTATACATGATTTCTATCATTTCCCCAACCTCTGACGTCACTCTTTTCCCCCAATCAAAACAAAGGCGTGAACTTTTCCCCCCAAAATTTCCCCAATATTTCCGTTGATTTTCACTGAAAGCCCAATTCCGTATTAATGAGAGTTTCTCTGGGGGAAATCTGCCTTTTTCTTAAAGGAGAAATCGAAAATTTTTGCTTTACAAAACACAAAAGATAAAAGAAATAAAATCTTTTCAAAATTACTCATTCGAAAGTAATCTTTGATTAGAAAAAGATCACTAAGCTATTCGATCAAATATTTATGGAGTAACTCCTTTTTTTTTCAGAGAACGCTTTTTTTTCAGAGAACACTCTTTTTTTCAATCGTGTTACTCATTTGATCTCTGAGTTTTTGATCTTATATAGATACTTAGTCAGAAATAAAGTAGATTAAAGATTGATACACATAACACGAAAAGGGCCAATAAAAAGCAACACGGTATAATATGGATGTAATATATAGGTAGCACAGATAACGTTATTGGAATTTCTAACTGGAGTTTCTAAAACTTATGAACAAAAATAGAAAAAAAAATGAGTCAGCTTTGGTATTGAAATGGAAAAGTGCAACTTTTCAGCAACAATTCGATTCTAGACTACGACTTGGATAAAGCTATAGTTATAAATTTGGATATAAATTAATTAAAGCTTGAATAAAAAAAATGTGTACTGTGCTGATTTCTAAAATTCCCTAGCTTTTCTTCATCAACAAAACTAATCCTTTGATTTCTGTACTGTTTTTTAATCAAATTTCCCCTTTTACCTAAACAGATAAGTGGAATATTTGCCGTTTTCTTTGCAAATTTTCGCAAAAAAGTGGACTTTGATGAGAGAAAATGAGTCGAAAAAGTCGAAAAAGGCTTTATTTCCTTTTTTGTAATCCCGTGAGTCAAAAATTTGGAAAGAAAAGAGAGATTTGCAAGTGATTGAATGAGTTTAAATGAAAATACTTCTGACTTGGCTTGGCTGGCTAGCTTCAGCTTGGCTGGCTAGCTTCAGCTTGGCTGGCTAGCTTCAGCTTGGCTGACTAGCTTCGGCTTGGCTGGCTAGCTTCAGCTTGGCTGGCTAGCTTCAGCTTGGCTGGTTAGCTTCGGCTTGGCTGGCTAGCTTCGGCTTGGCTGACTAGCTTCGGCTTGGCTGACTAGCTTCAGCTGAATAGCTTCTTTCCAAATATTGAAAAGCTCTCAGTTTAAATGAAAATACTTCAATTGTTCGACAACTAATCGTATGATTTATCTCAAAATCTCTCATAAACACAAACCCATCATGATCTCTTGGCGATGGAGTGGGTGGAAGTAGATGGGTGGCACTCGTTGCTGGATGTTCTTTCGCGTAGTGATTCCCCTTTGGCGGTTTGATTCCCGGTGATTTGAGCACTTGCGGTGAATGCTTGGGTTTCTAGAAACAGATTGTTTTTTTTTCCACATAGAATTGAACACAAATCTAATTAGTTGAAATGTTAAATTCAAAAACTATCATAGCTTTCCCTTTCAACTTACCACATCAACCAATTTGGTGGCATCTTTTGGCTCAATCTTTCGACTCCGATCATGAATGTAAACCTCGAGCGCCTCATCATCAGCAAAGCCCTCTCGTGGAGCGATCGTCTCAAAGAATTGCTAAAAATAAGTAATATAATGCGAAATTTGTAAAATCGTATGCCTGTTTTATCTCTAGAAACCGATTTTTCCATCATTTTTCATCATTTTTCAATCATTTTTTCTAAGCGCTGGTTAATGTAAAAAGATTTTTTTATATCTCAAAAAAATCACCTTTTCTCTCTACTTTTATTTGATATCTAAGCGTGGAGAAACAAAGAAAAAACAAGTTATGAGCTTGAAGTAAACTTAAACTTGAATTGAAACTACGCGATGCTTCTATTCTATATAGGGACTTCTAGAGTAGTTACGATATTAGAGTAGTTACGATATTCTAACTCTTTTTCAATACTAACCACAGGGATTGCCCTTTTGGTGGGCGTGCGTTGGCTAGAGGAAATGACTGATGTCTGCGAGACATCTGATTTCACAGAGTTCACAGAATTTAAGAGAATTCGACGATTTCTCAGAGGCATTCGATCGAGATCGGGAACGATTTCGGGAAAGGAAAGGGAAGGGCATACAAGAGGGGAATCGGGTGATGATAGCAGATCAGCAGAATCTTTTACAGTATTCTTATAGGTCACTGCAGTTTGAAATATAATTTAAAGCCTAGCAAGCTCGTCGGCAAGTTTTCAATGACATCAAAGTTGATGACGCAATGTAAATTTCTCAACAAGGAAGGACAAGGAAGCTGTTTGCACTTAAAGATCTCGAAATTGGGAAAGTGTAGAAGGAAACGGTTTAGATTTTGATAGAGAATTTGATAGAGAATTTGAAAAGAGCTAAAAATGAGTGAATTGAAGTGGTAGAAAAATGGTATAGAATCAATGAAATCGGCAAGATGAAGCAAAATTTTAGCTCGATTGTTGCAGTAATGTTGTATTAGGTATCAAATTTAGCTGATGTTGAATCAATAATGAACAAATTCGACAGATTTACGTGAATGTATCCAGCGGGGGTGATAATCGATGTATTTTGTCAGTCGGAACGGCGATTGACTAAAGGGAATGAAGGAAAAAGACAGATTGAAGGAAAGAAAGAAAGAAGAAAGAAAGAAGAAAGAAAGGAAGAAAAGGAATCGAACTTCCGGTGTGATCAAATAGAAAAGAATATTGAAAAAGAGATATTAGAGAAAAATGGGGAATGGGGAAACGATGATATCCAAAAAGATGTGATTAAAAAAGAGATGAACGACCGTTTTGTGCAGAGATTTTTTTCCAATCATCAATTTATGAGCTGAAGTGTGAAGAAATGGGGAAATTTTTGCAGTGAAATGGAATTTGGAAGTGAAAATTTTAACTAGATAAAGGTTATAAATGAGAAAAAGCTTTTCATCGAAACTATTCAGCGCATTCATTACGGTAGTTTGTCTATGTTTAGTGAAAAGGAAAAGCTATTCAGCTATAAAATTGCGACTTTGAACTGTTAAAATGATAAAGAAGCAGTTCAAGATGTTCTTTTGAACCCAATTGATTGAAAACTTGAGTTACGAGAGTTTTTCAATATTTGGAAAGAAGCTATTCAGCTGAAGCTAGCCAGCCAAGCTGAAGCTAGCCAGCCAAGCTGAAGCTAGCCAGCCAAGCTGAAGCTAGCCAGCCAAGCTGAAGCTAGCCAGCCAAGCTGAAGCTAGCCAGCCAAGCTGAAGCTAGCCAGCCAAGCTGAAGCTAGCCAGCCAAGCTGAAGCTAGCCAGCCAAGCTGAAGCTAGCCAGCCAAGCTGAAGCTAGCCAGCCAAGCTGAAGCTAGCCAGCCAAGCTGAAGCTAGCCAGCCAAGCTGAAGCTAGCCAGCCAAGCTGAAGCTAGCCAGCCAAGCTTTCAAAGTATAAGAAAATCAATAGTTCAATAGATTTCATCATAAATCAATTTTTACAAGTATTTAACCAAATCCAGTAATCTCCCCAACTTTTCTTAAAACTCACCCGTTTTTGCGGGGGAAACTGCGGCGATTGCGGGGCCAAGCAGCAAAAATGACTCGAGAGCATCTTGAAAATAGGAAAATGAAAGGGAATTTGAAGATAAAGAGATATTCAATAAATGAAAGGATCAAAAAAGAAAAAGAAGAATAAGGTTAAAGTAATCTGTAGTCTACAGTGTCGAATACAGTGGAAGCCAAGAAAAAAAAGCATTGAAAAGCTGATAAATGATTGTGAAAATTAGGAAGTTATTTAGAAGAGAAAGACAGTTAAATTTTCTTTTTATATAAAAGTTTTTTTTAAAAGCTCTTAAACTAATTGAACAAATAGACACGATTTGGAAACGAGCCACACAAACGGCTCAAACGACGAGCAATTGTCGAGCTCTCTGTTTGGAATCAAAAAAGGGGAGATGGTGATTTCTTTTTTTTTTTTATTTTCTCACCCACTCATTCTCCTTTTCAAAGTGGATCGGACTCACTCTTTTCTTTTTTTTTTTTGTTTGATGATGATGATCACCCATTTTTAACAGCACGTGTTTGATTTATGGATTTCCGATGATTTGCGACTGATAACTCTCTATGGGGAATTTGAAAACGTTGAACAAAAACATTTAGTCTACTTTACAGGAGATTTTCTTCTTCTTCTACGTAAACAGTCAACGCGTTAGAAAGGGGTGTGTTTTGAACAGCACAAAGTAAATCCGAGCAAATGATGGAATCAATTTTTATCTTGGATTTATCCAATCTCCTCATTGAAGCCATCAATCGTACTTTTTGATCCCTCAACAGCATCACCAAATCCCTTCATTGGAAGTAAAAATTATTGCAACGATTTGGAAAATTTATGAATTCTATGAAAATAATATTTTTATCATGATTTTTAGGAAAAAGATTTGGATTTTGGATCTTGGGATATCTCTAAAGTTGACCCCAGATAATCTTTTCATATAGAAGATCATCTAATTTCTCAGAGAGTTGTTTTTTTGATTGTGCAACTAGTCACCCATTCCCTTTACCTTTACCTAAAAATTTTATACTCAACAAATCGCACTTTTTCATTCTCAAAGTTGATAAGAGAAATTCAAATTCTCAAAAAAGAGAATGAAATTGAGGGAATTGTCTATAAAAGAATCATTCTCGAACTAGTTCTCTCCTCTTTTCTCAACTGACGATTGCTCAACTAGTCACCCATTCCCTTTACCTTTACCTAAAAATTTTATACTCAACAAATCGCATTTTCTCAAAGTTGATAAGAGAAATTCAAATTCTCAAAAAAGAAAATGATCTTGGGATATCACTAAAGTTGACCCCAGATGATCTTTTCATATAGAAGATCATCTAATTTCTCAGAGAGTTGTTTTTGTGATCATTTAAAAAAGGAATGAAGTAATAAATGAGCTAATTGCGATTGGGAAAGAAAAAAAACTGTAATCGAATCTGAAAAGAAAAGAAGAAAAGAAGAAAAGAAAAGAAAAATGATGAGCAACAAATTGATCGCCGAATCGCCGCTCTTCATTGAAAAGAATAGCTTTGAGTGACGCCAGCATTTCCGGTATTTCAATGTTTCAAAGAAATCAACAATGAGTTCGGGATTGAAGAGTTTTTATGTTTTTCTATCATTTGAATGATTTATTCAACGAACATTTCTTATTTCACTCTAATAGAAATGTGTTTTTTTCTATTCTTTCTTATTTCATTCTAATAGAATTGTTTTCTAATTGATTAATCAATTTATATATTATTTATATAAAAACCATATTTCTATAGATCTACAGCTCTACAGCTCTACAGCTCTACAGCTCTACAGCTCTACAGCTCTACAGTTCTACAGTTCTACAACTCTACAGCTCTACAGCTCTACAGCTCTACAGTTACAGTTCTACAGTTCTACAGCTCTATCTCTAAACGGTGATTCATTTCATTAACCGATTCATTTCCTTGTTTCTCACAAAAAACTCTTCTCTATTTTGCAGTCAGATTTCTCGGATTGATGTCAGGCATTTCCGGGTCGAAAAAAGATGAAAAACATTTTCTTTTCTTTTCTAAATGTTTTAAGTTTGCAAAGGCAAAGAAAAAAGAAAAATTCGGCAGTTTTGCAAGATTAATCGTTTCCCGTTTAAAAGTAAAGCTAAATGTTTTAGTTTTAACAAAAGAAAACAACAAAAAGCTCAGTTTTGAAAAGTTCAGATGACATTTCGTGTATTTTGTACTCACAAAAAATCTTTTCTGGTCTACTCAATGTCTTCTCATTGTTGTAAAAATGTTGTAAGTGGGCCAGGAGAACATAAAGCACAAGTTGATGTACGTGTACTTTTGTAGAAAGTACACGTACATCAACTTGTGCTTTATGTTTCTACCAAGTACACGTACAACTTGTACGTGTACTTTGTAGAAAGTACACGTGTACTCGAAAAGTAGAAACACATACTTTCTGATGCATTGAATTCATCTCTAATAAAATGAGATCGTTATGAGTGAACTAGAAACGATGGGTTTCCTTTTTTAAAGTACAGTACTAATTTTAAAATGAATCAAAGTGCCAACAAAAAAGCGACAAATTCGATTAAAATTTAAAGTTTTCACAAAAAGAGAATGAAATTGAGGGAATTTTCTACAAAAGAATCATTCTTGAACTAGTTCTCTTCTCTTTTCTCAACTGACGATTGCTCAACTAGTCACCCATTCCCTTTACCTTTACCTAAAAAGTTTCTACTCAACAAATCGCACTTTTTCATTCTCAAAGTTGATAAGAGAAATTCAAAAAGAAACTCAACGAAAAGAAATCATTTCCGCTCTTTTTTTCTCGGCGTTCAACTCTCTTTGTAGAGAAATGGGGGAAACGATTGATTGCAACGATTGCAACGATTGCGAAGATTGCCAAATATTCTCTGGACTTAGTATTAGTCTAGTTGAATGATTTAAAATGATTGTTGGAGGAAAATGGAGAATCCAAAGTGTCCAGAGTGTCAAAGAGAGCACGAAGAACATGACCTCCACCTTTATGCCTTAACGCCTATTCTAGTCCTTTGATTCATTATACTTTCAAATCCAAGACTAGAATTGCTTTAATAAGATTTTCAAAATCCTTGCTTTTGTTCACTTTACTAAGGAACATTTTTGTGTCCCTTAGAAAAGATTTCGAATTTTCCCGTTGAAGAATTTGTCGGGTTGTCTTAAAGAGAATGTCAGGTGACCCAATGTCTTTGTGTCTTCTCTCTTTTTTTTTCTCCTTTTCTCAAGCTAGATCACCCATCCCTATTTTTTGGGGCTCATAATGGCATTTGTCCGGAAGTGAGAGGAATGAGGAAAGGATCAGATCGATAAATGTAAGAAGAAAAAGAAGAAAAAAAAAAGGTGGAATGAAAAAGATCTTGAACGATCAACTCCAATTTCTTTTACAACTTGACTTTGAATATTTGAGTAAGCTATTGTAAGCTATTGTAAGTAAGCTATTGTAAGTAAGCTATTGTAAGCTATTGTAAGCTATTGTAAGCTATTGTAAGCGATTATAAGCTATCAAGAGTTTTGTAGTTTGATTTAACAACTAATTTTTAGTCAACACAAGATTTCCAGTCTATTAAGATCTTAAATCTTTAAGGTCTTAATAGACTGAAGCTGTAAAAATTGCAAGTTATTGTAGATTTAGATTGGTTACTTATTAGGTAAAAGGTAAAGGGAATGCTAGTTGGTGGCTAGTTGCGCAATCGTCAGTAACCAGGTGTTAGACAATGAGAGGAAAAATTGAGAAAAAAGCGGGATAAAGAATGGGATTGCGAATGGAAAAAGATCGATTCTTTGAAGAGAAAAGAAACAAAATGAATGGGGGACACATCTGTACGCATTGCGCCATTTTCTCCATTGGAAAGGTGCTCATTTGAGGACGTGAAGGTAAAAGTCGTAAGAAATTTTTGAGAAATGAGAAAGGGGTCGAGAAAGTCAACTTTGCCAAGGCTTAGGGACTTTCTGGAGTACTGAATGCCTTACTTTTTAAACATTACGCTTATGAAATCATTGAAGAAATGAGGGACGCCACGTGAATGCTAGAGAAAATGCGTCTAAGAGAACGATGTCTGAGAGGACGATGTCTGAGAGGACGATGTCTGAGAGGACGATGTCTGAGAAAACGAGTCAACACATTGGCTCTTTTAACTCATTGAAGTTCAAATTTCCTTTTTTTTCGCTTTGATGATTGGTTGAGAAGATTTGCTTTGAGAGACTTTAAAAGAACTTGAGAAAGAAAAGAAAAGAAAATTTGCTCTATGCTACACTTCTTAAAATATCCTATGGGAAAATGGGGGGGGGGTAATTTAAGGAAAATTTGAGAAAAAAATTGAAATTATTTTGTTTGTTTGAAAGAACTTCAATGAATGAATGAAATGTTCCAAAAATTAAAAACAAAAAAATGAAATTCTTTTGTTCACAAATAATTTACTAGTTTGCTCATTTAACAAAGATAAAAACGGAGAGATTTTTGAAAGGAATAAGATTTAATTTGATTTGATTTGAATCAATGAGCGAGAAGATTAAAATTTTAGATTAAATTCGAGAAAAAAGATCTCAGATTCGGTTTTTTGAGATGCATTTTGATGAGAACCTTGAGAAGAACTTAAAATAGTACTTGTGCATCTTTTGCCGGCCACTTTGCATTTAAAAGTTACCGGGAAAAGATGTCCAAGTACCTTTAACTTTAAATTTTCTTTTCTTATCATCAAGAGTTGCTTTGAAGTAGATATAGGCACTATAAACTACAAAAAGCAACTACAAAAGCAACAGCAAAAAGCATAAACACTAAAAATGCTTCTAATTTAGGTTCAAATCTACCGCATTAATAAGATCTATAGCTCAAAAAAAATAGAGATTCTCAAGAGCTTTCGAATCGAGTAAAGTAGAAGCGAAAATAAGAATTCTAAAGAAAATTACTCTAAAGTCGCGAGTATAAGTTCTGTTTGCTTTTCGCATGCAAATTTTAATTCAATTTTTGATGACTACAAGCAAGATTGTTTGGCAAATGGAAAACTGGAAAGCTACCATTTGACATTTCATAGCCGCTTCTTTCAATGATTGCTTTAAAAAGTGTTTGAAGATCGGATTACAATGCTTTAAACAATCATTATCAAATACTCAAGTGATACAGATCATATAGAACTAAAAATTCTTTGTATAAAAGTTGTATAAAGGCTTTTTGTTCTCCAATTTCTGGTCAAAAATCAAACAGTTACCGGGAAAAGATCCCCAAGCACTTTTAACTTCAATTTTTGATGAAATTAGAGTCCAGATTTTGATGACTACAAGCAAAATTGTTTGGGAAATGGAAGACTTTCTCTTTTTCTGTCCGCTTGGAAGAACTATTTCTTATTAGCTGTTTTAAGAGTGACTTTTTAAAACTGTACAATTTGATTGGATGTACTTTGACTTTTAGTGTTGTATCCTTATTTACGTACTACGATTTGACATTTCATAGCCGGTTCTTTCAATGATTGCTTTAAAAAGTGTTTGAAGATCGGATCGGATTACAATGATTTAAACAATCATTATCAAATACTCAAGTGATACAGATCATATAGAATAATATAGAACTAAAAATTCTTTGTATAAAAGTTGTATAAAAGTTTTTTTGTTCTTTTTCTTCTCAAATTTCTGATCAAAAATCAAATTCTCCAAAACTAAAAGACCAACTTTGTGGTTTTTTTTTTAGTTAATTCTATTAACTTTTCCCTACACGAAGTGCCTATGTTTAGTTGTGAATCAGAAAAAGGAAAAGAGGAAGAAAAGAGGACGAAAAGGAAGAAGAAGAAAAGAGAGGTGTTTTTAGAAAAACATTGAAAAGGGAAATGAGGCCAAGGGAATATGAAATGACGCATAGATATCGGAGAATTGGTGAGATGGGTCATTTCTTGAGATACTACGGTAATTCTTGAAAGTGGGACAAGTTGGAGCAATAGAAAACTCTCGGAATTTGTTTTTCATTTCAAGTTTTAAGCTACAAGGCTCTTTTGAAAAGTCTCTTCACTCACCGTAAGCTTTGAGATTCGCCGCTTTGCCCTTAGCAACACACTTGGGCTTTCTTCAGGCCTTAAAGGTACTGTAGAGTTGGCATTTGTTTGCATCGATGTATCAAGCTCTTCATCAGAGTCCTCAGACTTGCAGCAACAAAGCAATTTCTTTCGCCTTGACTTTTGCGGTAATGGCACTTTCACTAGTTCCTCAGGTTTCGTTGATTTGTTCGATTTCACGGAGCTTCGCGATTTCTGACTCTTTGAGGCCTCGGATTTATCACTGCCAGGTCTTCGTCTTCGAATAGAGACACGATGAACAGCTGCGGGACCCAAAGAATTCGTGGATCCTTTATCGCGACTGACTGGCCCCAAATCGACCACCTCGAACACCGAACACTCATACGATCTCCGTTTCGAGTTTTTCTTAATCCGATCACCGAAGAAACCCCTAGGCATTCCTTGTGGACTCTCAATCATCAGCAATCGTCTCGCCAACTCTTCAGCGTTTAACTCAATAGCGGAAAATCTGCGTGACGGTGGTTGAATGATTGTGTTTTGATAGAGTTCAGTGGAGGAGCTAGATGGGAGTTGCATGGCGAGGAAACAACGACGATTCGGCTCCACCTAGATGAGAATGAGTTTAGAAAGAGTTCACCTATAATCAGTACTTTCAAACAAATCAAAGTTTGCTTAGTTCAAAAGATAAAACATGTCAAATTCCTAATAGTAAAGTAAAGCAAAGCTAAATTGTAAGTCTTAGATTTCCACTCACTCCTTACATTTGCAACAACTCAACTTATCTAACATTAATCTTACAAAGACAAAGACCAAGAATTCAAGTGCCAGAATCAGTTCATCAGCAGACCTCAAGTTTCGGCGGTTCATCCTCATCCATATAGTGAATCGGCGAGGTCGACATGTTAATTAGACATTGAAAATTGAGAGAATAGCCAAATTACTCATCAATCTATACTGTTTTGAGTTCAAAAAATTCAGAATCAAAATTCAAAATGAATACATAGAGTCGAAAGAAAGGGGAAAAGAGAGAACGGGAAAGGGATTCGTCAAGTGGCTGAGTCAGAAAGGGCCAAAAAAGAAAGCGGAAAGGAAAGAGAGGGATAAAAAGTGCCTCTGGCAATATCGAAGAGGATCAAGCCCCGCCTCTAAAGCCTCTTTTCTCATTTTATCGACAAAATATTTAAGAAATTCGAGAGGTTTCATAGAAATCCCCTGGATAAAGCTCGACTGGGGGAAATATGGGGCATTTTTCGAGGCTGAGAAAGGAGTAAAAAGAAAGAAATTTCGATTTCGTGTTATTAAAAGTCGTGACTAATCATCGAATGTAATGGGGATCAAAAAAAAATAAAGAGAATTCTTTTACAGAAACTTTTAGTAATTAAAGGATGAAATCGAGCGATTTACGTAGATACTTAAGCTTTGCTATTAGTTTAAAACTTTTTATTAGTCTAAAACAATTAGCTTTGTGTTACAATAGTACCTTTGCCTTTGCTTTGCCTTTGCTTTGCCTTTGCACCTTTGCCTTTGCCACTGCCTTTGCCTTTGCCACCTTTGCCTTTGCCTTTGCCTTTGCCTTTGCCACCTTTGCCTTTGCCACTGCCTTTGCCTTTGCCACCTTTGCCACCTTTGCCACCTTTGCCTTTGCCTTTGCTTCTTTGCCTTTGCCACCTTTGCCACTGCCTTTGCCACCTTTGCCTTTGCTTTGCCTTTCCCACTGCCTTTGCCTTTCCCACCTTTGCCTTTGCCTTTGCCTTTACCAAAACCTTTGCCAAGTCTGACTCTCTTAAAATGTGCTTGTATAAATTGCTACCCTATCTCATCATCTTTCACCAGTTCTTCAAAAGTTCAGACAGATTGATTGTGACACAAAAACTGGCATTTAAAATCGGCTAATCTGCTAAACAAAAGAGAAACTTAGGCACAACTTCAAACTATCCATTCACTTTTATACTTCATACAATGAGCTAAAACAAGTCCAAATAAACAGCAGAGTTTGTAAGCCAGATTATGCCAGTACTGGACTGACTTTGGCCTGGTTTAGTTCAAAAAGAGTTTTGGAGTATCCCTACTCAAACTCTGCTTCGATTTCCCATAACAACAACGATTTCCCATAACATCAACATAACAACTAAGGTTTTTAGACCAACCAGTCACTCATCAATATCACTTTCAATGAGCTGTTTCTTTTCCGTTTTCGCTCGTCACATGATCGTCTAGTTTTCATAGTTTCAAATCTTGCTCATACTTACTTATCTATATCCATATTTAAACGGCTTCCTTCATTCATGCAACAGAGATTAAGCTGCGGCTATTCGTAATTTGTGTTTCTTGTGTGGCAAAGAGAGAGAGAGAGATGAAAAGAGACGAGTGTGAGTCATTTTTGTGCTCTCTTCACTCTCTTCACTCAAAAGTAAAAGGGCCTAGACAAATCCCCGATATCGTAACGCAAAAAAGGGGTAAAAAGAGGCAAAAGCATGTCTAAAAATCGTCAAACAAAAAAGCTTACGAATCCTGGGAAAGGCATTTTTTCATAAATCTCGGATTTACATCTTAAGTGGTGGTTGGATGAGATTCGAATTTTCCGTTTTGTAGATGTCATCTATGTATAGAGATCAATAGTGGGGTACTGTGGTCGTGAATGGTTGTAACGTGAATGGAACAATTTGAAGAGGGTTTTCTAAAATGTGCTCTTGAAACAGCCAGTTAAGAGAGTAGTCGAACGGCTACTGTAAGCTGTAATCATTTGAAATAGTTTCTTACGATGCGTGCTCAGAAAAAGCTATCGTATACTACCATTTGCAAACAATCAAAAATTGGTCTTTTCAATTGAGTGAGTACGATAGCATTATCAGCTAAAAAATGCTTTAAGAGGTATCTAGAGTGCATCTTTTGAAAGCACTTTAATCAAAAGAAAAGCTTCTCCTTTTGAGCTTAGGAACAAGCTATCGCACTTCAGACAAGAACTTCATTAAATCTAATACGGCTATAGACTGTGAAAAGAAACAAACGTTACCCACAGAACCTTTCTAAACGATTTTTCACTACACTTCACTGACTCCTCGATTTTTTGAATCCAGATTTTAGAAAGAAAAAGAGTTTTCGAGTTTTAAGATTTTCAAAAGATCATTTCAGAATGTTTTTATCGGATAAGTGAAAGAGATTTTTCTTTTTCAAATTTTCCAATTTAGAGATCAACTTCGGGATGAAATTCACGGCGAAACGGAATGAAATGAGTGACTAAATGGGATGAGAATGAAAATGAAAATCTGATGAAAATCGTAGGGTATTGAGGTGAAAATAGAGGTGAGTCAAAAAGAAATTTGAAAAAAAAAGAGAGAGAGAGAGGGATTTTCAGAAATCGGCTAATTAAACGAGAGTTCTCTGTACTAGTCAACGTTTAGAGGGACAAAATAAAACACACAAAAACGCGTCATTTTCACATTTTCACATTTGTCATTACGAAATGATTGAAAGTTGAAAATCATCGTTTTAAAATTTCACTGTAGCAACGTTACTGACGACTATAGCTACCTTTTTTCAGCCTACATTACTTGTTGCTAATTGCTTGTTGTAGTAAATATAAATACCAATTATCGCTTGTTTTCTCAAGCATGAAAACTTTCAAATACTCTCAGATTAGGCTGAAAGTAATGATCAATTGTTTACCTTGAAGTAGTCTGTCCAAAATTGAGTAGTTTTTCTTTTCCTATGTAAACAAGTGCACCAGAAACGGTGTGTTTATGTTTTTGAACTGAAAGTACAGTAGTTTTGAAGAGAATCTTGGCCAGAAGGCCATTGATTTTTCAACATTCTAACATTTAAGTAATGAAGTAATGAAATAATGAAATAATGAAATAATGAAATAATGAAATAATGAAATAATGAAGGAATAAAGTAATAAAGTAATAAAGTAATAAAGTAATAAAGTAATAAAGTAATAAAGTAATAAAGTAATAAAGTAATAAAGGAATAAAGTAATAAAGTAATAAAGTAATAAAGTAATGAAGGAATAAAGTAATAAAGTAATAAAGGAATAAAGTAATAAAGTAATGAAGTAATGAAGGAATAAAGTAATAAAGTAATGAAGGAATAAAGTAATAAAGTAATGAAGGAATGAAATAATGAAGTAGTGAAGTAATAAAGTAATGAAGGAATGAAGTAATGAAATAATGAAATGAAATGAGATAATTCAAAGAGTGCTCAAAAGCAAAGAAACCTCAGCAAGAAATCTTGTAACTCACTCTAATCTTCGGCCTCCAGATTCCTCGTTTGAATGTCCTCTCCCGAACACCCAACAACGGTGTCGTGTCACTGTACTCCAAATCGTCGTCCATTTCCGAATAAATTAGTTGGGTAAATTTGAAAAGTGAAAAAAAATTACGAAATTTGAAGAAAACGAGGAAATCAATAGAGATCTTTTTCACGATTTGCGAGCGTTTCAATTTCCCGTTCGATTCAGAGTCCTCCTAGAAGGAGGGAAATAAAGAAAAGAAAAAACGGAAATTGAGTCATTCAAAGATTTTTGTTTTTTTGAAGTGAAAAAGCGAATGAGAAAGGGACAAAGAGCCAAGGGGTTTCTGAAGAAAAATTTGTGTTGCTACAATTAGTAGAATTGTGTTACAGTGGCTGTCTGAGTTACTGTAACCTGCCAATGAGCCTGTGACTGGATACATTTAAGCCCAGACTTCATTAGTGTACTTTTTTCTCTCCAGTAAGCTTGAACTTTAGAACTTTAAAGTACCAGTTCGTAGAATTCTTCAAATAGACCGTCAATCTTATCAACTTAAAACTGTCAATGGATGTTTGTACCTCACTTTTTCTTCTCTCAAGTTTTAATTGGTTTTATTTAGTTTTATTTAGTTTTATTTAGTTTTATTTAGCTTCATATGGAAGCTTAATCTTTCCTAGTAATCTTCTTTAACATTTTTATGATTGGTGATGGGAAAAAGTGACAGTTGTCCCTTTATCTTCGATTTTTCTCTGATTTTTCTCTGATTTTATCAGCATTTCCGGGATCTTTTCCCTTTCTTTTTTTCTGTCACTTAACAGCCGTTTGATCATTTGATTTTCATGTGCTTCGGAGTAGGTTTCGAATAAAAAAAAATGAAGACAATGAGGAGAAAGTTGAGGAACAGGAACTGACTTGAGGGATCATCCATCATCGATCATTGAAACGAATACTTTTAGCTAGCATTAAACGTATGGAATTTAACTGGCTATGAGTCTAAAGTCTATTTCAAAGCGTGAATCTAGCTACCGTAACCCCAGTCAAGTTACCGCTACCCAGATAATTGGCATGCTACCGTAATCCAATATATATATATATATATAATGCCGTTTGTCTGCCCGTCTGTTTTTATTTGGGGAATTGAGCTAGTGGGTTGAAAACTTCCATTTTTAGGGTTTAAAAAAATTCGCTGATTCCGAATTTGATGTCCGTTTGTAAAAGACGTCATTTCCCGCCGCGAGACTCTAAAATTTACGCCCAATTTGCATCTAAGAGGGGAATGCTGATTGCACGATCGGATGATGCGATACTGCGTCCGTTTTTGTGGTTGTGCCGCGAAAATCGAAGTGAAATTTCAAGGAAAGCTGCTTTTGGGTTGAAAAGAAAAAAAAGAACAAGTGCTTTAATAAAGACATCGCGGCCGAGTATCTACAGCGATCATTTGGCGGATTTGGTTTCTTCAGCTCAAAAAATTCTGATGAATTCAGCAATTGGGGACGCTTCCCTCGGCTCAGCAGCGCCAATCGATGAGACTTGTTCTCCCTGCCCGTCTTCTTCCTCTCCCTTCACATCCCATCTCCTCACCCCCATTCTATCCTCATTTTTTTTTGACCTTTTTCCCCGCCATTCCCTTTTTTGCGTGAGGTCTTCTTCGTGGGTGGTCTTCTTCACCCTTTAACTTTGTCGATAATTAAAAGATTTTTTGGGGGAACGTGGAGACTTTAGATGGAAAAAATGGAAAATCGCTTCTGCATAAGACGAAGGGAATTAGAGGAGTGCTCTCCCTGCATGCATTGGTTTTTCTCAATTTTTCATATATCTTACGCGCGTGCCAAAAGATTTTGGAATACTTTGCCGCTAGCTTACGAATGTTGGCATACAAATTGGTTGCACGGTCGCACGGTCGCAACCGGTCGCACGATCGCAAACGGTGATGAGGACAATATGATTCAGTGTTTCAAGACCGACGGTCCAAATGGGCTACAGCTGCTAAAAGACGCCTTGAATGGAGAAAGAAATTAGTGATCTTCTGGTGCCGCTTCGATCAACAGGACTTTGGGAATTCTTTTTGGGAAAGAGAAGTTAACGATCAAGAAGAAAATGATGAATTTGTTGATGCAGACGTATCAATTTACTTTGATAATTGATCTGTTTTATGTTTGATTTTACTGTTATTTTGTTCTTTGTTCAAGATGAATAAATGGAATTCAAAGCTGAAAAAATTCTGGTCAATTATCTTTGAAAACTTTTAGATTACCGTAAATACTGTAATAGTACCCCACCCCCCTCGTACAGTCGCGTAGTCGCAAAAGTTTTTTAGTATCTCATTTTTTTCGAAGCACCCGTACCTTGAAAAAATGTGTCTTTAATACCAAAAAATAGCCCTGAATTTCAGCTATTTTTTGATACCTAAGCGCGCATTGTAGCGTAAACCAGTGTCGAGAAAAACGCGTCCGAAGCTAGACTACGCAACGCTCCGCACCCGTCATTATGGGGGTGGGGTACTATTACAGTATTTACGGTAGGTAGATTGGCCAAAAGTAAGCCAAAGAGCTTGTGCTTGTAAGCGCATAAAGTACATACCGTAAATACTGTAATAGTACCCCACCGCCCTCGTCGCGTAGTCGCAGAAGGTTTTTAGTATTTCATTTTTTTCAAAGCGCCCGCACTTTCAAAAAATGCGTCTTTGGTATGAAAAAATAGCTGAAATTCAGGGCTATTTTTTGATACCTAAGTGCGCATTGTAGCATAAATCAGTGTCGAGAAAAACTCGTCCAAAGCTAGACTACGCAACATTCCGCACCGTCATTATGGGAGTGGGGTACTATTACAGTATTTACGGTAGGTAGGTTGTTTAAAAATTTTTAGGAAAAAAAATTAGTAAGACTGGCGCTACTATTACAAGTCTTGCGTCACTTTGTCAGCGTCACTAATTGACGATTTTCAAAGATTAGACTTATCATGTTGCGTTGATGTTTGAAAAATTTTTTCCAAGTTTTCTTCCATTTTCGGTACGAATTCGAAGAGTGGGAAAAAAAGCCAAGCATTTGACTATGATTCAGCTAAATTCACATGCACTCAAGAGCTTCGTTACCACAAGTTAATCTTATAGTTAGTTAAAAGAAAAAAAAAACTCTCGCAACTAGACAAAAACTCATGATTTCTTTAGTCACGAAAAGAATTGTACTTTTGTGACTCAGAAAAACACGTGTCTTCTCTCTTTCTTTCAAGGGTCGAGAGATCAAAAATTCATCAGCGAAAGGACGTAAAAAAAAAAGTTAATTACGCTGATTCAGAGAAGCCTGGAAAAAATTTTGTTTTTGGGAAATTCTCGCGCGCAAAGTACACTACTGGACAATGAAATATCGTATTTGAAAAAAGATCGTCACTTTCGCGCGTCTGTAACTCCCTTGTCTTTGCCGTATTTCTAAATATTAATATTACCATTGTGTAGCCCTTGAAAAGAGCTTTCAGAAAATGTATAACACTAATAGTTTAAACTCAAAGACAAGAGAGTTACAGATGCGCGAAAGTGACGATCGTTTTTCAAATATGATATTTCATTGTCCAGTGCTGTACATACGAGAAATTCAGTCACAATTCAGTCAATTTTCAAAAAACAAAGAGAGGCTCTAGATCTAACGGCTCTTTCTCTGTAGGTAACCTTTGAGTTCAAACTATTAGTGTTATACATTTTCTGAAAGCTCTTTTCAAGGGCTACACAATGGTAATATTAATATTTAGAAATACGGTAAAGACAAGGGAGTTACAGGCGCGCGAAAGTGACGATCGTTTTTCAAATATGATATTTCATTGTCCAGTAATGTACATCCAAAAATACAATATATTTTAGTAAATTTCACCGATAAGACCTAAAAAGTCAGCCAAATAATAGATGGATCTAATTTTTGAGCTAGCTCATGCAGCAGATCGTTTCACTTAATCCCTCTCAATAAAAAAAAATGAGTTTCCATTGCTAAACAGGCCTCTGATTAGCACATCAAAGCTACAAAAAAAGAAAAGAAAACTTAATTTTTCTCCAGAATAAGTTCAAATCCCAAATCCTACTTATTTCAAAATCATTCTTTTAAACTTATTGAAGTCTAAATTTCGAGATAACTTGCACTTAAGATATTCAACTAAAATGATCAAATTATGCTTAATCCTGTAAAAAGTTTATAATCTTATCGTATCAATTTTGTTAATAAATGTACTTCGACACTTTCTGAAAATATTCAATGATCAAGGCACAAAGTGAGTGAGTAAAACATTCGAATTAATCCCGAAAAAGCTTTTCAGAGAAAAATTGTGAGAAAATCGGATTTCGAGATTTTGTTTTCTTTTTTTTGAGGGATTGTTGATGCGGTACCATTTCTCGGAATGCTCAAAAAGAGATTCGAAATCAGCTTATCTGCGAAGAAAAAAAAAGTCATCAAAACTGATTCGCCTTTGATGATCTGGTACAGAAAATGGATTTAATTTAACCATAGATTATTTGAGGGTTGAGAAAATCTGAGCTTAACCTATGAAAATGCAGTCCCCATGTCAAACAAAAGTCTTCTGGACAAGGGCAGACTGATAGGAGATGGAGATAGGAGAAGATAGGAGATAGGGCTGAGTCATATTTTTTGGATATTCGTGTGCAATTTAGTATAGATCTTATGGTAAACCAGATCCGGGTTATGAGCCAGGCGCAACTTTGGTCAGTCAACCTGAGTCAGATCATAGTCTATGATCTGACTCAAATCTAATCGTTGATAAAGCTGCGTCTTGACCAAGCTCTGCCTTGGCCTGGCCTGGTTTACAATCAGTCAACTTCTAAATTAGACACCTGACGAAACAGACAAGTTTCCATTTTTAGGCTCACAGTACAATCCGGCAAATCTGTCTTCAGTCTACTTTGAGCACGGTAAATTCCAGATTGTAAAATTTAGTCGATAATTTTACAGATTTTTTTCTCTCTTGTCAGCGAGCTTAAAATTTGACCGAAAGTTAATCGGGGATTATTTGAAAAAGATAAACATACGCAAAAATATCAACTAAATAAGCATAAGAAAATTGAACTAACAATTGCAACGAGTTTCCTCTAAACGATATTAAGCCCAGAACTAGGGGTTTTTTATGATCTACAGGATAGATATAGGAAAATTCCAACCCGAACCTAATTTCACCGTCGTTTTCTCGGGCGTTTCTTGACCAATTGCTCTGAAATTTGTGTCTAAAAGCTGAAAATCTCGATTTCTATCTGTCATATCGTTTCCTTGCAAGTTATTCCATCACAGCAAAGTCAACCGTACATTTAACAATTCATGGGTAAGTGAATCATGTTTTTAAACAGCTAAAGTTATAAATCTACTTTCCATTTGTACCCTACCGTATCTCATCCGATTTTCCTATAGATTTGTTTACACAAAAGCGCGCACACTCGTTGAGCTAATCCCAGGAAAAGTCACGGGATATTTTGAGGACGGGAATCTTCTTTCACACAAAGCCATATTAGATGACTCAAGAAATCTATTGTACAAGACAAGAAAAAAAAAAGAAGTGTTTTCAAGAAAATATCTAAAACAAAATAAGCTGTAATAAGCTATAAATGTGAGAGCTCACGGGGTATTTTAAAATTTTGAAATTAAGATTTTAAAAATCGAAGCCAGAAAAATCTGAGTCAAAACAACGGTGGTGAGTCAGAAAAAAATGAAGAGGAAAAGATGAATTTTGAAGATTTTTGATGACAAAATTGAAAATTTCTTAAAGAATTGTTGGAGTTTATGAAATGAAAAGCTGAATTAAAAGCCTTGCAAATAGCAAGTCACCTCTAGTAACTAGAACAAAAACAGCCTATCAGAAACGTTCTCATGCTCTAGTTAACTTGAATTAAATTAAAATTAAAACTACAAAAAAAAAAATTAGCTTTCGATTTCGATTGCATAGTTGACAAGGGGTATTTTGGGTAAGCTATACAATAAAATATTGAATGAAAAAGATTAGGAAATGTCGCGCAAAAAAAAACGTGAACTCAGTTGTTGATTGTAAAGCATTTGGGATAATCTTTGAGCAAAGATTGAAGTGGTCAAATGTGGATAATTGATCAAAAAAAAAAGCGACTAGAGGGGAATATTTTTGCCCTTTGTTTTCCAAGTACAACTTGAGTAAACTTTAGAAGCAGCGTAGAATTTTATACTCATCTAAAATCAAAAGATGCATCTGCACGTATGCAAATTTTGCTACTTTCGCATTATACTTTCGTAAATAGTGTTTTCCTCACGGGTAATGCGTTTTTTTAAAACGCATCCACTTAGGAGAAATTGCCGTACTTTTAGCGAAAATTATTGTAAAAAATTGGCGCAAAAAAATCACGATCGACGAGTTATAAACGACTCTTTTTAAAGATAAAGATATTCAGTCGTTTAACAGAGTTGCTGGAAAATTCCCCTTCACATGTAAAGATATTCAACTTACTCGACGTTTAAAGAGGATTACACGTAGTTACTCGACCAAAAAAACGTCGATTAATCGGGGGTGGGACAAATGCGACCTTTTTTTTGCTGGAAAAGGCCTTAGGAAAGGCCGTAGAGCTTCAAAAATGTTTCCATAGAAGGGAATCGTATGCGTAGATTCCGAATTTCGACAAATCAGACCTCGCTGACACGTCAAATTTGGGCTAAAAGGCAAAAACTGCGGAAAAGCGTTAAGTTGCGTAGTTTTTGCCTTTTAGCCCAAATTTGACGTGTCAGCGAGGTCTGATTTGTCGAAATTCGGAATCTACGCATACGATTCCCTTCTATGAAAACATTTTTGAAGCTCTACGACCTTTCCTAAGGCCTTTTCCAGCAAAAAAAAGGTCGCATTTGTCCCACCCCCGATTAATCGAGTAAATCGGGTAACTCATGCAAATTTTACTCGAGTAATTACATTAATTACATTACACGAAAGGAACATATTCTATTCGTAAGTTTGAGATTTTTAAAGAATGTAATCGGTGAATGCTCAAAAAAAACCTTTAAAAAAACTCACCCGAATCGAGGGCTCGACGGTGAGCACATAGGGCTTATTCTGATACATTTGAATCTCGCCGATCAATCCAGCGATTCGACGACATTTGAGAAATGAAACGAGAAGCTGAAACACTTTGTGTAAATATAAGCTTCCACATATTTAATGTTTTATACTTGAGCTCTTTAATTTTATCAAGTAAATAATTTGAACTCTCTGGAAACATTTTAACTCACTTTGTTCGAGGTGGGCGAAGTCGGGAGACCATTTTCCTAAAATTTGTATTTCATTTTTGCACTGACGACGTTTTCGTTTTCGCAAGAAAGCTTTCTGCACCTCATTGTTGTTTCTCGTGAATCCCGATCGCTCGAACGATGGATTTCCCACATCCATCTTGCAAATATGATCCATATAATGACCTAAAACTTTGCACATTGCTCAACTGTGCATTGGACTTTAACGCAGTTTCAAAAAAAAAATCAAAAGAAAAATGAGATTAGCAGCGGATGGTTTCGATCCATCGACCTCTGGGTTATGGGCCCAGCACGCTTCCACTGCGCCACGCTGCTGCTACTGGCTGTGTTGGGAAAAGGATTTTGAGGGTTGGAAACGAATAAAGAGAAGAGGGAAAAAGAAAAAAAGGAAAAGAAAAAGAGCATGGGAAATTTGAAGGAGCTAGAGGGAAAAGAAAAAAAGCGGGTTTTTACAAAGTAGTATTCATTTCTCTTTTTTCCTTAACTTTACATCGAATTGGTGATATGCATTTCAAAGATCGACTCACCGAAGAAAGGGATACACGGCGGATCGATCGACTGCAGACGTTTGATCATTTCTTGCCATTTCTCCCCGCAAAGTAATTGGAAACGAGCCCAAGTTGCCTCGTGGTGTGCCTCAAGTCGCTGAAATGTTAGAAATTATGAGATTTGCATACTTTTATTGGACTATTACCAAAATTTTCTGGTTTGGGTCTTTAAAGGATTTTCATGAGCATATAACCATAATCTGCTCTTCATAGAAAACACATTTCTAGTTCATTAAATGTTTCAATTTGTTTTTAAACCAAGAAACAAATTGACTTACACCCCAAGTCCAAGTAAGCCGACACATGTAGGATGAGTTGAGCGCTGAGTAGAAAGCAACGAGGCCCGTGAAGTTGTGTAACTCTTCGAAGACGCACATCACCTAATAAAAGGTGAGATAATCTTTGATTCAAATCGAAAGAAGGTTCAGTTGACTTTCATCTAACTACAATACACTCTGCTAGATCAAAAAACTAATCAAAAGTCAAAAGTCAAAGCAAGTCTTGAGTGTCTGATAAGCTTCTGGTAATCACAAATGTACCTCCAAAGTTCTCTCCAAAAGCGCTACGCGTTCCTCCAGCGAATCTGTATCAACGATCGATCTCGCCAGCCACCAAGTTAGCTAAATGTTCACTATAGCTAGTCTATAGTCTAACTTACATTATTGCTATGATCAATCAAGTTGAGTAGTTGCGGGCTTCGCTGTTGCTTATCCTTTTTCATCCAAGCCACATCAACCAACTCGATCGGTTTGATCCTTTGATACAAATCGAAATGATAAAGGGTCAACTAAAAATCTTCTTGCTTAAACAATCAAAATATCAAAAGCTACCTGTCTAGCAATCTCGATTGGATGCAAGGAGAGGAGATCATAGTTTTCGGTGTCTCCTTTTTGAGCTGTGTGCCAGACAACCTGCGTAAAAATGATTAAAAAAATTACTTAAAAATCGTGACTGGTGCATAAAGTCTGTTTAAAAAAGTTGTTGTTTATTAAAAGATTGAAAATTTTTGTACCTCTGGCGGCTTTTGCTGGTAGATGCTGACACTCGGCGTGGTGGGTGAAAGTGGTGGAATTACACCCGGCTCGTCCATTTCGAAACCGTTATTTGTGTGTCCTAAGCGAATTTGATTGACTTTGAAAGTCGATTTATTGGTGTTGATATTTGTGAGAAATTTGAGTCAATGAATTTAACCTCTACCTGGTGTTAGCCCAAATCCTGAACTCCCGAAAAGAACCGATTTCTTTCTCTCGATCGACGCCTAAAGCAGCGAATTCAATTAGATAGTCGTTAGCTTACCAAGATAATTTTCGCAAATTTTCGATGCTGATTTGTCAGTTTTCCTGGAGTGTCACAGCTTCTAAAAAGCAGTATGCAAATTTTAGATTCTAACTCCACAAACTTTCTCAAAAAATACGCGAGACTTTCCGTGAGAGGTTGATTGTTCTCGAAGTCATACCAGTGCATTTTCACCCATTGTTGGAGTACGGATAAAACTCTGTAAGCAGCTATTTCTTTTGAGATAATCTTTCCTGTAAAAACCGTCTCTGTATGGGTCGCTCGTATTCTTTTCGAAAGCGTTGAAATGATTGTTCGGAGATGGCACCGGAATGGATGAATGATGGTGGAGGAGAGGAGAGACCGTGTGATTGCACTGTGTCATATCGACCAGCAAGCGGGCCACCGGGTCTAGATTTTTTTGTTGTTTTTGGCAATAAGGATCCTGTCCATTTCAAACCGAACTTGGCTAACAAATGGGTAAAGCATTAGATGATATTTGTTACGGTTTTTCAATTTATTTTCTTACCTAATCTCCGCGCTTTGCGGCTGCAGTCTGGCTGGTACTGGGACTTCAAATCTGGAAAATAACTCTATAATATAATTTTTTTCATTCTACACATGCAGTTTAACTTTCATAAACGATCAAACCTTTCAATGAGCATCGCCAATAGTTCGGCCGATGTGCAAAACGATCGATACGAGATGAGGAACGTTTTCACATAGTTGTTATCCGTGTACCTGAAGTTATTGTGTAAAAATATGATCAACATTAGCATACAAGTGAAAAGTGAGTCTTTCGACAAGTTTCGCGACAGTTCCTTTCTTCACAACGGGCACTCCGCTGCTTGATGTATAATCCTCAAACATGATATTCTCTTCGGTGTCCGGTTCGGCGAATCTAGAATTGAAAAGAGAAATGTGATTGGTTTTAGAATTTGGATTTAATTTCAAGTAAATTAGCATTCAAAATTATTGTAACTAATGGTAAGATATCCTGCTAGTTTCAAAGTGAGATTAGATCCTTCGGATCGGATCAAGCAATGAAAATGAACGTGAAAGTGAACGAAAAACATTTCATTCAGGTAGTAAAACATTATTATAGTATTTTATATTATTCTAGTATTTATTATAGTATATATTATTATTATTATTATTATAGTATTTTGTCTTACCTGTACTGTTCCGGATCGGGTATCACCAACGGGATCCGTCTTTTCTCCTCTTTTGTATAGTTGTCAAGTAAACGATCCAGGATACTAAATTTTCATTTTCAAAGATTTTTCCCTAAAATGAAAACCTTTTCGTCTGCAAATTGATCAACACTGTCATCCAGCTTTCCTTGTCGGGTTTGCATTTGCACAAGAAAGTATAAACCTGAAAAGAGGATGAATTCATTCCAAAAGCCATATCAAACCTGCATCTGATTGCTCGTTTTATCAAAGGACTCAATCCGAAAAGCGTGTTTCATTTCTGAAAGCTTGTTGATGAAAAAAATTTCTAATTTTCTCAATACCATCATTATCCTCGATGTCTCTCATTTCAGTCTTTCGAATGTTTAGTCGCTCTTTGAATTTGATCCCATTTTTGTGAGACTAAAGACAATAATGAAACGTTCTTGTTCATTGAAATTTATAGTTTAATCAAAAAATCATTTACTCACTTTGCACAAAAGGACAAGTTGATCAAAAACGTACAAGTAACGCTCGGTCAAGATTCGACTTCGACCACGTCGGAGAGTTTCTGGAAAAAATATTGTGTAACCATAAGTCAGATTTCTAACCAATTGTAAATAAGTTAGTCGATGTTACGTTTATCAAGTTATCAACTAATTGGATTACTGTAAGAACCACAAATGGCCCCATAAAGATTGCGTCACAGTGTAAAAAAAGAAAATTGCGCCGAATGGAATTGCCATTTACCAGGACCTTCGCGAGTCTGGTACCAAAATGTAGCCCTTCAATTGAGCTACACGATGGTATAAAAAGTTGTAGAAAAACTGTTGTTTTGTACAAGAAAAATGATCGCAAAGTGAGAGCATCGACTGTACATCGCAATCAATACTAACAACGAGGCACCGTCTTTTGCGTAATAATTGGGTACAGTAGCCAAAGCAATCCAACTCACCCAGTGGCTGAGTTGAAAGACTCGGTCTCACCATTTGGAGAGTGCCCTCTAAAAATTCATGGTTTAATCTAGATTTATTTCATTATTTTCCTCAAATCTATACCTTTCATCAACTCTGCACAAGTTTGCCCAATATTTTTCCCTTCATAAGCGTCGATTCGTTTTTGAATTTGTTGGAGTCGCTCGAGTTGTGAAATCGGGGAATCGTTTAGTTGGCGTTGATCTCGATCTCTGAATAGTTGTAAGGTTTAAAATTCATTGCTTTATCACACTTACAATTTGATTCTCAGTCTCAACTCGGTGCTCAACAGGTTTTCCATCTTGGCGACAAGAGGGTTGAAGTAGCCGAGAATATTCTCCAGATCGATTCGGTCCTCGTGAGAATTCGATGTCATTGAAAGTCTCTGAAATTGAAGAAATTTGAAATTTCTTTTTGAAATTTCACCTTTATAAACTCGACGATTCGGTAGAAATGCACGACAGGCACGTTGAGAAGCGATGGTAGAACATAGCGAACGATGAGACGAAACGTTTGACCGCCTTGTTGACTACTGTAGACACGTTCTTCATTCTAAAGATTGGAATGAGTACTGTAAATGAATATTCTAGTTTTTGAAGATAAATACTGCACCAGTACTTACATCAAAGAAATTCTGGAGGGCTTTGTCTTTGAGGATCTTTTCGACGCCGCCTTGGGTGGTTGAGGTGATCGTTTCCTGTAAAAAGGTACTATTTTTATATAGAAAATGAATAAATCAGTAGCCATTTTGTTAATAATCAATCAAATAACAATAACTTACAAGAAAATCAATATAACAATCAAAATCGTGTCCCTCAGCAAGTGGCCAAAGGATTGTGCCCACTGACGGGGTGTCGCACATCTCAATCGCGTCCTCGAGACATCTTTCTACCTTAAAATTTTGAAATTTATGGTAGGATAGGATTTTTATAAGTGTAATTGACTTGCATGTGATAAAGTTAAATTTGTATCTTGTACTCACTTGAAGACTCAGCTCGTGCAGTTCGCTGATGTTCCCAAAGATGTCATCAAGATAATACTAAAGGAAAATTTTCAAAGAAAGACCTAGAACACAAACAAAATTTGCTCCAGTGCACGCGGTCTCGAATCTTCGACGAAAAACGTTCACCAATAGACTCAACGTGCTTACATATTGGCTCTCGTAATGCAAGAACTCACGAGCAATCTAAAAATCAAACTGTTATAGGACACTTTCTTTTACCATACCTTTCCATAATCGGCTTCAACTCGTTGATGTCTTTCCTCATCATTATTCAAATCGAAATCGAAAAGTAGAGTGGTTCCCGTTAAAGAGAGACCTTCGCTGTCTTCATCTCCATTGTGAACGATTTCTGTCAATTCCATGAGATTCTAAAGTTCTTCATGCGTAGATTCTAATGTCTGTTGAGTTCTGATGGCCGTAGATTTTTCAATAGGTGTTCAACAACAGTATTTTAATGTACAGGGTTGCGTTACAGTGTTGCGCTTAATGCACCTTTTTTTGCTCTCTAAGACAATGCATTAACCTAAGCTGAAAAACAAAAATTAATCATAAAATCTACGCGTAATTTTACATAGAATAGAAGAATTGTAACATTTTTAATGACTTTGACAACCCTAGCCAAGCAGTACAAAAAGCGTAACACTATGATGAAAAACAGTTAAATTTGAGTTTGGGGTCTCTAAAAAAATCGCTTTTTCCATCTTTTTCTGCATTAATACGTTTTTAGAGTTAATTACTATAAAAGTAGTGCTTTTTGAGCTCCATTATTGCAAATGCGAGCTTATCTTGGCTAACAAAAATGACATCTTTAACAAATTTCATTTTTTCGAGGCAATCACGTTTAAAGTCATATGAAAAGAATAAAGTTTTAAATTTTTACACAATCTCATAAATCTAGTGAAAAAATGTCCTTAGATTTTAAATCTCTAAACGAAAAACACTGTCAACTCTTGGTTTTTGAGAAAATCATCCTTTTTTAAAGCGTAACACTATTTATGTCGCACCAATATATATATATATATATATATAAATTTATCTTTCTATTAAAATAAACCAAATTCTCCCTTACCTTATCCGCATTCAAAGCTATTTGCAAATTCTGCAGACTGATGCTCATCGTTACATTCCGCACATTTTTCACATAATGACCGGCCCATTTCAACATGTCCTCGGTGAGGTAATCGCAAAGATTCAACACAAAAAGCGCCATCTTTTCAATCTGAAACTTTTAAACAATTAGCCAAAAATTTCAAATGTTTAAACTGACCTCTTTCTCGCGATCTTTCTTCTCTTTATCCTTTAGACCAAGGTACTCCTGAAAGTTTTAGCATTGAGCACATTGTTTTTTTTGAAAAAAAAAGGATACCTTTATGATGAGCACAAGCTTCGAGTGTAGATCGCACATCGTTTTCACGTTCACCGTGTTGTAGTTGCGATGGGATTTCTTTGGTGGCCATGAGTTGATGAATTCGTGAGCTTCCTGAAAATCAAACTGACTGATTGCCGCAAAATGCCACTAACTTTTACAATCCCAGCAGCTTGTTGGGGCAACAAAATGGTGACATTTTTCTCGACTTCAGCCAGCGTTGTCGGTTTCGTGTCGAGGAGTTGCCGAAGGAGATCGGAGATGATATGACAAATGTGTGAGACGGCATCTCGATCAATGCTCATTCCAGGGTGCACCTGGTTGCACAACTAAAAAGAAACACGAGTTTATTTTGAGATATTGTATTTCAGAAAATAAATGTATTATATAATGCTATGAAGTTAAAGGAAAACGGGATAATTCTCTTTTCTGCGTCTTTTCTGCCAAATTTATGCCCCCGAGCATACACATGGTCTCATCGATATCCACCCCGTTTTATAAACAAAACCAATTTGAGATTTATATAATACATTCATTAAAACTTTAATTTTAAAAACTTACTTGATAGACTCTTTCGATGAAGAGATCTCGCCATAGTCGGATCTTTTGACTCGTTAGCATTTTTGAGGAGTTCAACAATTAACGCATTGTAGTGACAAAAAAAAAGAATAATCTAAAAACTTGGCTTTAAAAACTCTTTTTAAGGATGTAAAAATAAAAAGCGTTGAAACTTGAATGAAATAGAAAAATGCTCGAATCCGTTTGACTATTTAAAAACATTTTAGAAGGTATTGCTGAGAAAATGAGCTCTAGATCGGACTATTGAACTGACAAGATTCCTTATTTGGATAAAAATAGAGACAAGATTACGGTACTTTTCAAAAACTGCTGAACTTTAGAAAACGGATTATTCAAGAAGAACAGACTCTAAATGAACATTGAAAAATTGTGTCACACAAATTTAGGACAATCAATTTGTGGAGTAACAAGAGTTTTCCCCCGCAAACAACATCATTTCCGAATGCGCAAAAAAAAGTGAAACAAAACGGAAACAAATTAAGACCAAAATTGGGATAAAGATACAAAAGAAAAAGAAGACAAAGTGGCACTTGTAGGGAATGATTTGCAAATCGACCTAAAGGTGAACAAGGGGTTGTTGAAAAGAAAGGAAAGAATGGAGAAAAAAGAAAAAAGGATTTTCTCAAAAAGGCTGATCACTTTTCTCCCAATCGATCAGTGGATTTTTTTTCCCCTTTTGCCTATATTTTGCTCGATCTTTTCTTTTTGATTTTCAAAATTCCCGATGTCACCGCGTAATTGGGGAGATTTTTGTTGACAGCGGCCGGCTTTTGCAAAAAAAAAAAACGAGGACATGGCTTTTTCTTGATCAGTGATATGATAAATCTTTTGTTTTGATGCTTTTAGATAGATATAGATAGCTTTTCTATAGATATAGATAGCTTTTCGAATAGATATAGATAGCTTTTCTATAGATATTCAGGACCTGAGATAAAGTGCGCTAGATTTAAGATTAAAACACATGAATTCATACACATAACAAGAAAAGGGCCGATAAAAAGCAACACGATATAAGATATGTAGTATATGGGTAGCACAGATAACGTCAAGGATTCACTAGAGCTTCAAGGACATGGCTTTCAAAGACAGCAAAAAAAAACGAGGACATGGCTTTTTCTTGATCAGTGATATGATAAATCTTTTGTTTTGATGCTTTTATGGTTTTTTTTTGCTGAGATTACAAATGGATTTGTGAGTGAGGAAATTTGGTGACACGTTTAAAGTCTTTATGAACAGTGTCTTCATTTTAATCACCACTCTTTATGGACAAAAGCATCTTTCGTTTTATTTACAGAGCTTCTAATGGCCCTAATTTTACTTATAGCCGACCGATAGGGCTAAAAATTGGAATATAAGTGTAAAAATGTTATAAAAATGAAATGATAACAAACTTTAAGTAATCTAACACATTTTTTTTTACTTAATCTGCTTTCATATAAGGCCACATATTGGAATATAAGTGTAAAAATGTTATAAAAATGAAAGGCCACATATTATAGGCCACTCTCTACATTAATCGAGTCAAATTTCTGATTTGTTTTCGAAATTCTTTCCTTTTTTTTCCTACCTAGCTTTTTGATCTATCTTATCAGTGTTAGAACCTCAATCACAACCAATTCACAATCAAAATCTGTACTTTACGATGACAAATGAAATTTTTCACTCTAGCAAGGTGTTCAAGTCAAAAATGACTCACATTAGAGTGAAAAAAAACAGCATTTTTGGCGCAACGTTTTTAAAAATAGCTCTTTTTTTGAATCATCAGCAAATAAGAATGGTGTAAATATGGATAAAAAACAAATCAAGTATTTTAAGCAAGTATGATCTGCAATCAAAAACGTATTAAAATGCACAAAGTAGATTGAAAAACAAGTAGACTGGGAAAACAATTGTAGTTGTTAAAGGTTTATCAGTTCAAGAACAGCATTGGAAAATGTTTGTAAGTGCTTAAGTGGTTTAAATAGTAAAACAAAGAATTTCTACTAGTTTGAATCGTTTAAACAAAGCTGGAAATATAGGATTGAAATGTATGAAGTATTTATGAAATCGAAGTAAACGTTCACAATATATGTCGTGTGTTGTGTGCTGAGAGAAAGGAGAAAAGAAAAGAAAGAAGAAAGAAAAGGAGAAAGAAAAGGAAAAAGAAAAGAAAAGAAAAGAAGAAAGAAAAGAAAAGAAATGAAAAAGACATGGTGACTTTCAACAGAGAGAAATCTCTATTCATATGTGAAGAAGGGGACAGCCGCTAAGAGATTTCGAGAAAAGAAAATGGAAATGGAAAAGAAGAAGAACGAGGAGATCACAGAGATTGAGAGTGGGGGGAAAGATTGGCAAAAGGGGATCGGTGAGAATCGACTGATTGGGGTGAAGAGGAGAGGGGAGCCCTAAGGCTGACTCAACCCCTTCTCCCTCTGACCGCGATTAGCCTTTCTCACTCTTTCTCACGGTCAAACGGGTGTTTATTAGTGATTTGAACACCGCAAATCTTTTATTCTGGCGATTAAAAATCACACTTTGTTAGGATACTGTGCTTTTTAATGAAACAATTCAGATTTTCCTAGCTCATTACCAGATAAGAACGCTTAAATCGAAAATAGACTCATGGAATCACAGGCAAATCTATTAAAATAAAAGGTTACAATTGAAAACGTCAGTCACTGCAATTTTATTCTAACTATAAACACTTGCCTTGTAACGCAATATATTGCGTTACATACATTTGATGATTTTTGCATCAAAATGTTCGTAAGAGTCTCTAGAATAAAAATTATCCCTTCGTTTTTGGTTCTAGACCCTCGTTGTCGAGTTACGAGCTCCAAAACTGCAGGGTACCACAAAATTTCCCATACAAAATGACCAAAAAAACTGCTAAAACTCAATTTAAAAAATTTCTGTCAGAGGGATTTGGAAAATTCCTTCAGATTCGGAATCAGCACAATTTTCCGCATCTAAAAAAGGTACTCCCAGAAAAATCCTATAGAAAACGCATTTTCGCGCCGATGTGCAATACAATAATAAAGTTAAGGAATTGACAAGAAAAAGTCGATTTCTGGAGCAGAGATTGAACCCTCGGCCTCTTGCTTTCCGGGCAATTACTCTAACCACTAAGCTATCCGGTATCTTAACAAGAGAAAAGAGAAAAAAAGGAAAGACAAGGGGGAAGAAGAAAGGAAGAAAAGAAGAAAAGAAACACAAAATACAGTTGAAACAAAACATTAAATATCTTTTACAAATTGTTTACCTTATCCCGATTCAGAGTTAAATCAACAATGAGCCTAAATCCCCGATATGGCTCATTGATTTTTTTTCGGTCAAGGAGGGTTTTCCTGAGTGGTTTTTATTAACTAAAAGTTCTCTCCAAAAAGGGAATGACCTTGGGTTGATCCATTGAATACGGACTTATTGTGAAAATGAGGAAAAGATGAATCTCCAAGTTTTAATATGCAAATGAAGTTTGTGCATTTTATGATTACAACAAAATACTCTTTATTTCTAAAAAACGTTGAGGCAAAGCAATACATAACACAAGAATAGCACAAGAAAGAGAAAGAAAGAGAAACAAATAAGAACTGAGAAATAAAACAAAAGAGGAAATGTTGATTTGGATAAAAAAAATGATATTCTTTGAATCAATATTGTTGCTGATAGAAAAATCGTTTCTCCATTGGGATCACCTCATCATCCCAAACAGCTTTCTTATGCGGTTTCCACGAGGGACGCATGAACCAGGGACCTGCTAAAGGATTTGAGTATTTTCGTTTTTGAGAAATTGTTCTGAAATTTTGTTTACAAATAGAAATCGGCATGCTTGTAGAAGTTCAGAGAAAATTTCAGAGCAATCGGTCAAGAGACGGCTGAGAAAACGAAGGTAGAAATAGATTCGGCTTGGAATTTTCCCATGTTTAGTACGCACTGGATTATGGTAGCACATAAAAAGATCAATTCAAATTGTGTACGCATTAGACATGGGAAAACTCCAAGCCGAACCTATTTCGACTTTCAAAAAATATGATACCATACCATACCGTACCACCGTAATGTGCTACCATAATCCAGTGCGTACTAAACATGGGAAAATTCCAAGCCGAATCTATTTCTACCTTCGTTTTCTCAGCCGTCTCTTGACCGATTGCTCTGAAATTTTCTCTGAAATTCTACAAGCATGCCGATTTCTATTTGTAAACAAAATTTCAGAACAATCGGTCAAGAGACGGCTGAGAAAACAAAGGTGGAAATAGGTTCGGCTTGGAGTTTTCCCATGTCTAGTACGCACTGGATTCTAGTAGCACATTCCGGTGGTACGGTAAGGTATTGTATCATATTTTTTGAAAGTGTTTCTTACATTATTTTAGAAGAATGATACGATATTATATCGATCGATTTAAATGTTTCATTTTTCAAAACCGACCTCGCTTCACCAAAGCCATCGCCTCTATTGAAATGGATAAAATGACGCACATTGAAGAGATCAACACCCAAAGTCGCATTCTGAAGATAAATCGACTAAAGCTTTATCTATAAACTTAAAAGAAAACATGTTTTCAAAAGTTCAAGGAAATAAAACTGATCATTGGATAAATGAAACATTAAAAATGATAGTCAGGAAGAATACCCAAAAACTTGTCGCTTTTGAGGATTCACCGACTGGGAGTGTGATGTAGGAAAAAAAAACATTGTAGTCTTAGTTGTATGTAGTTGAGAATTTTGGCTACAAAATGTCAAGTAAAGCATTTTAAACTAAAGTATATAGTTTAGGATTTAGAAAAGAATAAATGGAGTCATCATTCTTAGGGCTTTTGACATTTATACAAGCTTGAAACCCCTGTCAACTAATAAAACTTGTTAGTAACAAGTAATTACCGTAAATACTGTAATAGTACCCCAGCCCCATAATGACGGTGTGGAGTGTTGCGTGGTCTAGGTTTGAACGAGTTTTTCTCGACACTGGTTTATGCTACAATGCGCACTTAGGTATCAAAAAATAGCCCTGAATTTCAGCTATTTTTGATACCAAAGACCCATTTTTTGAAAGTACGGGCGCT